GCACTTTATCAGACGTGAAATGAGATAGAAAAATAAAGAAAAGAAAAGAGAGAAAGGAGAGGCATGCTAATGTTCTGTTAGAGTTTACTTGGGAACTACTTTAAGAGTATTTTAAAGGTTACAAACACCCAAAGTAAGTATTATACTCATCAATCTCTCCTTTTTTTTAACATTTATGAGTTTATGATTAGAGTTTGATAATGAAAGTGGGATTTTAGTCCATATAGGTTATGAGTTCGAATTTGTTGACTTAAATAAAATTAATGGGGGTAGATTAGAGTATCTAAACCTAGGTATAATGAGTTTTAGCGTCTTGAGTTGTTGGGCACCATTAATATCCAAAAATCCCATTTATTATGGGTGGTTGAAAGTTTTGTGATGCCATGAATGAGAATTTAATAGCTCGCTAATACTATTGGGGGCTAAAGGTAACTATTAAACCCAATGGTTAGGTTTCACCTTTTGTAAAGTGAAGATTGGGCAATTTAGAAGTAAAAATTGAAGGTTCAAATGTTTGAGTTTGTTATATTGATGAAATTCAACTTCGTTAATTGTAGTTTTGGCTCTTGGTCACCTATTGAAGTGAAAATTCAAACTTGAAAGCTAATTGATTGAGGAGTAAATCTTTGACCTTTCAAAGGTTTGAGGTAATTTGGGAAAAACTCTACTTTGGGTAATTGTATGTTACTTGATTGTTAAATGTGAATGGTGAATGTTACATGCATGAGATTGATTTTTATGTAAAACTATATATTATTTTTCAATGAATGTATGAAAATTTGATTGAGTATAATGCTATTTTGACTTGAAATGCAAAATGCAAAGTTAAAAGGATTTTACTGTGAAAATGCTTATGTTTTGAAAAATGAATGTGATGATGAGTAGAGATATTTATGTGTTAGTAAGGAAATGAATTTTGAGAAATGATGAGAATGCACATTTAGGTAGCGCAAGGTCGTGAACCCAACATGGTGGTCGTAACAGTAAGTAAATGAAAGCGAAAAAAGTATACTCAAGTGAGTAATGATTATGGCATGATCAGTGGCGGGAGTTCGCTTGGGGATTGGGAGTAGAGAAAAAAATTTATATGATAATTAGGCTATCCTTCGGTGCACGAGGGCTATAGCCTTATCCCACTATTTGTCGAGGGACTAGAACCTAGCTATCTCCACCAATTTAATGAGGAGAATAACCTAGGGTATGAGACACCCCAGGGATTCAAGAATGGGAAAAACCGTGGTTCGAGAGTGAGTCTTGTGATTTTGGCTGGGTCACACTTTATGATTTGTGAGTTTGGGTAATCCAGTTACACTGATAGAGCCTTAATCAATTTTATAGCTCACGGTTTCAATCTGAGAAAATAAAGAGGATATAAGGTTGGTTGATCATTACTTGAGTAAATATATGACGTGTCACACATGCTAAGTGATGGCAGATCACGAGAATAGAGGTTATGTCACATATATGAACATATGGTGATAATGTACCTAGTTACGTGAGTTAAAAAAGCTATATAATGATAAATGGTAAATTATAATACATGTGAGTTTGATTTGCATATTTACTCTCCTTGTGCATGTATTTGTTTTATAATTGATATATAATGGGTAGGATTAATCTTAGTTATTGAGTGGCTAGACTCACCTCTCTTATTTAATACTTTTCAGGCTCTATCTCTGGTGTTGAGAGGGAGAAGACTAAAGAGGCGAGAAATTAGCATATTTCTACTTTATGCCTCTAGTTTAACTTTAACTGTGTAATAGTATATGGCTTGTCAATTCTAGAATGCATATTACTTTACTTGCACTATTTTGGTTGTTGAAAATGTTATAATTGCATTTTGAGCCATTAACCTTTATGTATGTTGACATATATATGTTTATAGGGTCAAAATACTAGTACAAGTGTAGAAATGAAGATTTGAACATGTTTGAATGATTTGAGTTAAATGCACTGGCAAATTACCTCCCCCTTTATTTTTGGTAAATTGGGGTTGAGGAGTGAATTTTAGTTATATTGATGTTTCGATGCTTATGACGTGTTGTACTGGTAGTCTTAAATCTATTGGACATGGTCTAAGTGTTAGGAAAAGTTTTTGGCACTTGTTGATGGTTTTGGACACCCATTTTATACAAATGTTGAAAAGTCGTCAAATTATGTTTGGGTGTTCAACTTTCTAGTGTGACTTATTTTGGAAATGAAATCCATATCATTAATTAGTTCATGTAAAGAGCTCTCTATAGACACTTAGATTACGGACGTCAGATGGAGAATTGAGGTGAGTTAAAAGTTCCCCCGATTCTGCTGTCAAATGACAAATAGAACCAATGAAAATTCATGCAACACGCCACGACGCATGGCGCCTGAGCTGCGGCGCTGCATCGCATGACATAGAGAACAACACGCCGCAGTGCAAAGTGCGTCCGCTGCGGTGTATTGCTCTATATTTCAGTATATAATTTATTTTCAAACGTTTTCAACTTCTTTCACTCCTTTGAGGCATCCTATGCTTCCGAAACTTATTTTTACCTTGATATAAAATATTTTGATCAATTTTAACTTATTTCTATTTAGAAAACTTGGAATCCCTTACTTTTGAATCAAACCTTTGTAATTACTTTTTGAGCTAATTCTCTGATTACCATGTGTTTCATTAATTAATTGTGTTTAGTGGAGTGAAAACGTTATAATATAAATTTAAAATTAATTTATATAAAAATTTCCTGAATTTTTTAGTTTTACATTGTTAAATTTATATAGATATATTAATTTACACCCAATGTATTGATTTGGAAGAGAAATTTCAGGCCTATTTGGTAGCCTGTTTTGGAAACAGTTTTCTGTTCTTTATAACAAAAGAATAAAAAAATTTGTTTGATAATGCATTTTTTAAAATTGTTTTGGATAATAAAAGAATAAAATATTATTCTGTAGACTAGAAAAATAGAAATAACTTTCAGATATTTTGGGATTATTGTTATGGAAAACGAGAAAAAAATGAGAAAAACATATATTTTTATTATTTTTTTATTTTCAAAATATGTTTTTACAAAACATCAATTTTTAAAATAATAAAATAAAAATAGTTTCAAACAGTTCTTTCATAGTTGGAAATATAACCCTATGTGCAGGATGGGCGGTCCTTTAGGTAATACTAAATTTTCAATGAAAATATCAATATTATAAATACAAATTGAAATTAAAAAAAAAATCTCTCAAGTAGAATAACCCTTCACAATCACAACGATAAATCTCATTCTACTTGTGAAGTTTTTCAATATGACATTGAATGTGATTTTTTAAGTTTTGAATTTTATACATACGAATTCTCTAATATTAATAGTTTGATTGGTTTATTTTTTTAAGAATAGTTTTTTGTTTTCAAAAATAAAAGAATTAAAAAACTTGTTTGTAAAAGTATTTTGAATCTAATTATTTGTAAAATTGTTCTCATTTTTTATTTTTAAGGAAAAAAATCTTAAAGCTATTTTCATTTCATTTTTTCTAGAATACATTACATTTGATTATTAAAAACTACATTGATTGTAACTACTAATAATTATTATAAGTCATCACCATTAATTGTCAATGACTATTACTATTTGGCCAAAAAAAATTGACTATTACTATTGACCAATTTTTTAATTTTAAAACTATTTTTAAATTGACACATCCAAAGAAATTTTCCTTTTATTTTGTTTTAAAAAATAATTCTAAAATTTGCATTGCAAAACCGTTTTTGGAAACAAAATATAGAATAGGAACTTAATATGCCCTAAGTTATTCATAAATAACCATGTTTCTGTCTTAAATAATAAAAAACAAAGTCATGCTCAAAAGTTTATATAATTAAACAAACTACTTTACCATCCGTTTTGTCAATTTTTTTTAAAAAATATTATCACTTTCTCTGTGTTACAAATAACAAAATTTTTATGTCAAACTTTAGTAAAAAAGTTTGTGTTAATTTTGGACATATTTGATTTCTATTCTATTTTTTTCTAAAACTATTTTGTATTATAATTTTTAAAACTGTCTTTTAAAACAAAGCAAAAATGAAAATCCATTGACTCATGTTAATTTAAAAGTAGTCTTGAAATTAAAAAAAAAGATTGATAGTAATAATTGCTGGCAGTTAATGTATTTATGATAGAAATTAATCAAATTAAGTATATTTTTTAATAATTAAATATAATGTATTTTAAAAATAAAAAATAAACTAAAAATAATTTTAAAATATTTTTATATTTTGTTTTTAAAAACAAAAAGTGAAAATAGTTTTGAAAACAGTCAAATTCAAAACACTTAGTCAAAGAAGTTTTAAAATTTTTTATTTTTAAAAATAAAAAATAGTTTTTGAAAGAAGGAACACAAACATGCCTTCATTTTTTTTGTATTTCTTGTTTTCTTTCTTTTTCATTAACATTAGATTTGATTTTTGATTTTTATTTTTTATTTTCTTTGAACTAGATCATATCGATTCTATAAATCAAATTTTATATAATATATACTTAACTTACTTAATTTAATAAAAATTAATGACTTTAATCAAGTTTGCATTCAATATAAATTTATAAATAAATTAGCATGATTTTATGATTCAATAAATCAAATTTTATATAATATATACTTAACTTACTTAATTTAATAAAAAATTAATGACTTTAATCAAGTTTGTGTAACACACCAAATTTTTTTTTTAAATAATTTAACTCAACCATAGTTGGGTTACAGCCACCCAACACATTTTTATATTAATAATTTCGATATAAAATATTTTATAATTTGCTTCAACTCACACACTATAACATTTCAGATAAATTTTTACCTCCCACATGCCATTAGGCTAAATCACATTTGTCCATCCTTATACTCCCAACAAGTAAACTAAATCATATTTGTCCATCCTTATACTCCCAACAAGTAAAATAAGCAATTTAGTCAATTTTCAACACAAGTCAGTTATTTGGCCTTATAATCATGTCATTTTAACCAATCCAAAGTAAACCAAATATTAAAATTACAGTCATCCAAATTGTACCAAAAATAGAAATAGTTTGAAAGGCATGATTACATTTATATATTCATATAATTGACAATAAACATAAAAAAGTCCTAATATTGGCAATATAACACATTATAAATCATAAATTAAATACCCAAAAGAGACAGTGGATCTATACCACTAAGCCTCTGGGACTCCTCCACGTGTCACTCTTGGCTCTTCTCCTGAAAATTGTTAACCACATAATGAGACTCAAAAGTCCCAGTAACCAAAGCCAATTTATGATAGTGTATACAAACAGTTAAGTGTGTGCTTACTAAGTGAGAATTAAAAATAATATAATTTCAACAAATATATAAAATATTACAATACACACAAACAACCATCCTTATATCCCTCCATTAACCTCGAGCCGTAGCCCTCACTCGGTGCTAAATTACCCGGCCAAAGGTAGATTAGCCCGAGCCCTTACAAACCACCTATTGAGCTCCAATAGGGGCATACCACGTGGCACATAAATACAACAATAATAACAAATCTCCCAACACCTCCCACAATAATCAAATAAATTTATAATAATATTGCACAATTATATAATATTACAAAATTTATAATTTTCTCAATAATCACCCAATTAACAAGAAGTAACACTAATCACAAATTAAAAGCATGGTTACCTTGTGGCTTTTTCAATAAATTATTCCTTAAAATTTCTCTCTCACCACAATCTTCACCAGTAATACAATCTACAAATAACATATTATTTATAAATATTAGTTTCACTTTTTGAAACTAATAAAATAATTCTAATAATAGAATTAAAAATATAACATAATTCTTAATCTCAATCTTAATACAAATCTATAGTTAATACTATTAAGTATAATTTTTAACTCCTCTTTTAATTATTAATAAACATTAATAATCTAAAAATCAACTTCTAAACTAATTTCTATTATCAAAATTTTCTTTTTATTTTATAAATTCGCACCTAAAATACTCAAAAATTAAAAATTGAGTCTTTAGCTTAGAATCATAATCTTATAGCCATAATAATTCATTTCTCATCCCAAATAATCATCTAAACCTCCATAAATCAACATATATTTTCAGATCTAGTCTAGAATTTGATCCATAAGCTACAAATTCAAAGATCACCAATAAATTTATACTCTAGAATATTTATTATACTACTAACAACCTCAAAAACCATATTTATTCAACATAAATTCATCCCTCTTCCAGATCTTAAATTTTCTATCACTACAAACTCAGAAACCAAAGAAAAAGGATGACTAAGAAAAAATTTTAGAACACTTACTTAGTTTTGAAAAGCTTAAAATCACACCCTAAATATCCTATTAAAAACTCTTACCTTAAAACCCAGCACCGGTGAATTTGGCTCACAGATGCTCTCTCTGCCGAAGCTCACGCACGAAAGAAGGAATGAAGAAATGAAGGAACAGGTGAGTTTTTATAAAAATTCAGTGGGTCCCACATTTTTTTTAATTATTTTCTCTCTCTTCTTCTTCTTTTTTTTTATTATTTTATTATTGTTACTGTTGAGGCGGCGGACGAAGCAAATTCGTTTTCTTCTTCTTCTTCCTTTCTTTTTTGCATACCTTTTTTTTTATAATAATAATTTAATAATTTTTTTAATTAATTTTTTTTTAAAAAATTTAATTTAGAATTATATCCTAAGTTAGATTTAATGATCATTTTCTACTAATTTATTTACCTCTAAATATTTTTTTTAAATTTCTATTAACCCAAATTAACTATTAAAATTTATATTGGGATATTACAGTTTGCATTCAATATAAATTTATAAATAAATTAGCATGATTTTATGATTCAGAAATGTAAAAAAAGGTAAACTTAGGGTCTATTTAGTTTCTGTTTTCATTTTTTTGTTTTTAAAAACTACTTTATAATATAATTTTTAATTTTTTAAAATAAAATAAAAATTCATTTAAGTATGTCAATTAAACAATATTTTTAAAATTAAAAAAATGGGCTGACCGTAATGGTCATAACAGTTAATGGTTATCATTAATAATAAAAATTAGTTAAAATAACTATAATTTTTAATAATTAAATATTATATTTTAAAAATGATAAAAATAAATAAAAAATAACTTAAAGATATTTCTACTATTGTTTTATAAAAAAATGTAAAATAATTTTAAAAACAATTCAATGAAAAAACTTACGGCCTTTTTAGTTTCTGTTATCATTTTTTATTTTTAAAAATTATTTTATAATATAATTTTTAAAATTATTTAAAAAAAAATTAAAAATGTGTTTGATTATGTCAATTAAAAAATAATTTTAGAATTAAAAATGAATTGATAATAATAATTATATACAATTATAGTGATTAATAATAAAAATTAGTCAAGGTAATTATATTTTTTATAATCAAATATTATGTATTTTAAAAATTAAAAATAAAATAAAAAAATTTAAAATTGTTTATATTTTTATGTTTTTAAAAACAAAAAATGAAATCAATTTTAAAAATAATTAAATTAAAAACACTTATCAAAACAAGTTTTTAAATTTTTGTGTTTTCACAGTACTTATTTAAACATGTTTTAAAATTTTTAAAAATGAAAAAATAATTTTTAAAAGCCAAAAAAAATTCAAGTAATCAACTCACAAATTTAATTAGTTTGCTTGCAATTTAATTTTATGAGCGATTTAATTTTTTCTTGGTTGAAAAAAAAGGTTGAGAGGTCTAACTATGACAACAATGCATAGTAACTGAATCTAGATAAGAATCTGTGACATATGAAGTTCAAGTTTTTTAAGGAGAATTATTCTCAGGCTGTTATTGTTTTAAATTCAGCGATTTCAAAGGATATCAATTTTTCAAGTTTCCTTGAGATTTTGCAAGTGAAGAAAAAAATTTATCTTAAATTCTCACCGAAATTTATAGGCCCGCCAAGCGAGAAATGACAGCCAGTATAGCAGTAATTGCTACATTACGTGTTTCTTCTTCCAAGTCGTCGTCTTTTGTGCCCGTCACTGTGCTACACTAAGGTCTGCTTCTGCCTCGCGCCTTTCAATTTATGCAGCTCCTCTGCGCCAAATAACGCAGAACCTCATGGCTCACACTCTCGCTCGGGCCACTCTTGGTCTCACTCAGCCGGCTAGCATTGAAATCCCCAAGGTCTCGTTGAATCTCTCTCGCACTCCATTTCCCCTCCCCACCTTTATTCCTTTCCCTCTAATAATCTTTCGTTCTCTGCTTTGAATCAATCCTGAATTCGATGCATTTGCCTATAATTCATGGTCGATTCTAGTTTTTGGAATCAATCACGAGTTGATCGACATGTAAATATCTTTTTTTTTTTTAACATTTTACCTGTGCCTGTTTCTCCTTGAGTTTATTGCTATATTGTTGATTTGTCTACTTTCTGTTTGTGAAAATTTCTCGAAGGTCTCTTTTACTGCAAAAGATGTTGACGTAACAGAATGGAAAGGGGACATACTTGCAGTGGGTGTAACGGAGAAAGACATTAAGAAAGATGGGAACTTGAAATATGAGAATCCGATTCTAAAGAAGCTTGACTCAAAGTTGGGCGGTCTATTAGCCGAGGCTTCTTCTGAAGAGGATTTCACCGGCAAAGTTGGCCAATCGATAGTACTTAGAATATCAGGGCATGAATCCAGGAGAGTTGGTTTGATTGGGCTTGGAAAGTCTGCTTTAACGACATCATCTTTTAAAAGCTTTGGCGAGGCTGTTGCAGCGGCTGCAAAGTCTGCTCAGGCAAACAATGCTGCCATTGTTCTTGCCTCTTCTGAAGGGCTTTCTGCAGAATCAAAGCTTAATTCTGCATCTGCAATAGCATCTGGTATTTTCTTTACAATTTTATATGTGTATTGTAGAGCTTTAGTGCTGTCCCTGTCTGGGTATCTATACTTGTGTGAGCTGTGATTTTTTGTTAAACATGACATGCTTGTTGAACTGTGTTAGGGACTATACTGGGGATATTTGAAGATCACAGGTATAAGTCAGAATCAAAGAAGCCAGCCCTTACATCTGTGGACATTGTTGGTTTGGGAACTGGACCTCAATTGGACAAGAAACTTAAGCATGCAGAAGATGTTTCTTCTGCAATTATTTTTGGAAGGGAGCTTGTAAACTCTCCAGCTAATGTGCTCACACCAGGTTCATAGGACCATTTTTTGTTTGTAAAAATTATTGTTCCCGAACCTTACTGTTATCGGTCAGGTGGATGACCGATTTTATAGTTCTATTCCCTTGATACAATAATCTGAGATTCACTGCATTATACTCGTGTGCTTATTTAATTTTCAGTCTTAACAAATGAATTATCACTAAAGTTGTCCTATGCTTGATGATTTATCTTCCTCAGGGGTATTGGCAGAAGAGGCATCTAAAATTGCTATCATGTATGGTGATGTTTTTACTGCTAAAATATTGAATGAAGAGCAATGTAAGGAGTTGAAAATGGGATCATATCTGGGTGTTGCTGCAGCATCGGCAAATCCTCCTCATTTCATCCATCTTTGTTATAAACCTCCTGGCGGATCTGTCAAAGTGAAGTTGGCTTTAGTTGGAAAAGGTTTGACTTTTGACAGGTAATTGTATGGTTTTGAGCTATGCCTCTTTCTGTTTTTGCTACAACTTAGAAAACAAGTGATTATTCTGCATTGAAATGTGCCCTTCTGTGCGAGTCATGGTTTTAAAGCTGCGGTTAATTTTCTTTTTATTTGGTTATATTGTTAAAATTACTAAGGACTTGGTATTTTGTTCTTGTTGTTGGTTACTAAGTGGCATTCTCACCTGTCTTCTCTCTCTATATGCATTGTTGTTATGGCCTAACGTTTTTTTGGGTTTTATGTATAAATAACTATTGCATGAGATTTACACGTTTTCTTATGTTGTATCAGTATAAATTCTTACGTTTTCTTTTCTCTTATCATCTTTAATTATTTTATCTGCAAATTATTAGTGGTGGCTACAACATCAAGACAGGACCAGGCTGTTCAATCGAAACCATGAAATTTGATATGGGTGGTTCAGCTGCAGTTTTAGGAGCAGCAAAAGCTCTGGGTCAAATCAAACCTCTTGGCGTAGAGGTAAGTTGTTTATGCCATTATTTTAGGCTTTTTTAATGCAAAGAATATCTTGCAAGATTCATTGAAGAAGGTGTAGTTTGCCCTTTCATCTTTTTGTTATGCTAAGCCTTTGGGTGCAAATGTTGTAGAAAAGTTGTGCCTAACTTTTCAAATCTTCATAGATGAAATGTATTCATACTGTACTAGAATTTGAATTTTTGTATGCTTGCATGTGCAGGTTCATTTTGTGGTTGCTGCTTGCGAGAATATGATAAGTGGAACTGGTATGAGGCCTGGAGACATTGTCACAGCTTCGAATGGAAAGACGATAGAGGCAAGGATTTATTTGGTTCATGATTTATTTATATATCATCTAACTTATTGCATAAGGTGTTGAATCAGAAACATGTGGATTTTGATTAAAATCTTATCATCTTAACTTAGCTTTCAGTTTTGTGTACTGCTTAATACTATTCACTTTGTTGTTAGATAGACTTAGCATTATCATATATGTTTTGTTATTGCAGAATTATTTAAAGCAATTAAAATATAACCAGTATTTCTTTGAATACTTTTATTTGGAAAAATGTTTCATTTATTTACATTTGAAAGAAGTTTTCCCTGGATTATTTCAGAGAAAAACTCTTGAAGAGTGGTGAGGTTATCTATTTTTTTTTTTTTTGACATTTCCTAATAAATGGATTTGTTAACAAATTGGTTCACTTCAACTTATCGATTTTGTGAACATTCCTTAATGAATAGATTTTTCATGTGCTGTATTATTAGCCTGAGCTTAGACATCGATGTTTTAAACTTTCTTTATTTTCCTTACCTCCCAAATTTCTTTTTTCTGGAACCTTTTGAGAATGTTTTCAGTGTATCAATGCTGCTAACCTGCGCTAGCAACATCTAGTACTGGTACATAAGTGGTGTACTGCTTAATGAATACTTGAATTTGTTTACTTATTAAGTATCGGTATCTGAAATCATGTACTATGAGTAAGAATGTGTCATTGGCTTAACCTCTTGGATAGGTTAACAACACAGATGCAGAGGGGAGGCTTACCCTAGCAGATGCTCTGGTATATGCTTGTAACCAAGGTGTTGAAAAGGTACATCTATATGACTAGTACATCTTTGACAATTAATGCGTCTTCGTATGTTTGATACGCATCTGTAACCAAGGTGCTTTTCACCGAGGATATCTCAGATATTCACTCAAATTAAAATAGTTCTGATTTCTTTGAGAATTAATGTCTTTGCATGGTTGATACGTTTCATCATCCATTTCTTAAAAAGTCAGAGAGAATATTGTCACCATTCTTGTTAGTCTGATTGAATCAAAGTGTTAAACTTCGTCCATGATTTTCATCCTTAATGTACGTGGGAAAATCAAGTTCGATTCTTGTAACAAGATCTAAACTTGTTGGATGTATGTTTTTGTTTTAGAACTGTGCTAACAGGATGATAAACTGTTACTAGATTGTTGATCTGGCAACTTTGACTGGAGCCTGCGTGGTTGCACTTGGACCCTCAATTGCAGGTAATCATGAAATCAACCCACGATATTATAAATTATATTGTGTTCTGATCAGTTTTAAGAACCATATACCAACATGTGCTTGTTACGATCAGAGAAACGCTCACTGTTCAGGTGTCAATGAATTAATTTTTCCCTGACATATCAAATGAGAGAAAAGCTAAGCTTTGTGAGGGGCAGAACCTGAAACACATGTAGCTATTAAAGTGGCCACATTGTGGTGGCTTTTCTAACACTTGACAATTTTAGTGTTCGCCGAACTTCTATACTTATTTATTCATTTTCTTGAATATCGTCTGTCATTGATTGTCAACTTTACTACTTCTGTAGGTGTGTTCACACCCAGTGATGAACTGGCAAAAGAAATTCTTGAAGCTGCAGAAGTGAGTGGAGAAAAATTATGGAGGATGCCAATGGAGGAAAGTTACTGGGAATCCATGAAATCAGGAGTAGCTGATATGGTGAACACTGGTGGGCGACAGGGTGGTGCTATAAATGCAGCTCTCTTCTTGAAACAGGTATGTTCTATACTCATTCAGCTCTGCAAAGTTAATTAGTTCTGCTGAAGTCTTTTTGAAGGAAAATCAGTCCAAATGCTGTACGCCACTTCACGATTGTCTAACAACAGAACAGGATTTTGAGCAATTGGAATAAAATGGTAGTGCGTTGTTGGACATGATGGTTGAATGATACAGATGGATTGGCATTCCATGGAATACCCTAATTTGGAATGAAAATTTTGTGTAAAAACCACTCCTTCCGATCTTATTTTTATAAGATCCTTTATAAAATTTAATAAAACAGTTATAAACTAATATCAAAAAATGACCTTGTCTCTCTACAATGGCTTTCCCATTCATTCTTCCTAATGATCTATCCTAATTGAAGGGTAATTTTGCAAGGTTGTAAAAGCTTTAAACGTTTAACTAACTTTAACTAATTTCCTTAATCTTAGGAAATTAGTTAACATGGACTTATAAAAAGTACCAGAGGGAACATTTGTTTGATGCAATTATTTTGGGGAAAAAATATGGACAACATGCAAAGAAGGCCACTAATGGTGCCAATAGAGAGAGTTGAGTAGATGGTTTTGACCTTATGATAATAAAGAGGAAGAATAAGAAGGATGCTTCAAGAAGTTATAAAGCGGAATCTTATGATGAATGATACATCTGAAATGCTGTTAACAGAACTTAATAGCATTGTGCAATTTATGCAGCCAACCTCAATTAGTGGGACAAGTCTTAATTGCGAACAATCTGAACTTCTTTGTTGTTTTGACTCACCCTCCCATTCGTTGTTGTTATTATTCTTTTTATGAGTAGGTTTCGAAATATATTAACAATTCTGTGCTTTTGCAGTTTGTTGATGAAAAGGTTCAATGGCTGCATATTGACATGGCTGGTCCAGTGGCAAGTGAGAAGAAGCTAACGGCGACAGGATTCGGCATCGCTACCTTAGTGGAATGGGTTTTGAAAAATGCTTCTTAAATGATAAAGGGAATCAAATCAAAGTCTGTTAGAACATGAGTGAAACAGTGAGGATGAAATAAATTGCAGGCTTTTTCTGGGTTTCTGAATCATCTGTGATGAGTAAATACTAAATAGCCTCTCAGTTTGTGTGTGTGGTTCACAGCCTTGACTTCTTGCTTCAGCTTTCACGGTTCTTGTAATGTGTCCCTTGTAAGACATTTTAGCCTCTTTCTTGTGCGTTTCCAGTATGCTCAGAGATTAATAGCATAGACCAGGGCATGATTCACTTAGTTAAGAAAGTTGAATTAGCTTATTTTGAAGATTCAAAATCAAGTCTTGAGATAGATAGTCGTGTTGAATAAAAATGTTAAAAACATTCTTGAGATACTTATAAAGTTATCATTAATAACAACAGTTTCATATAGTGAGAGTTCATTTTAGTTGGAACAGGAGGTTGTGGTAATACTTACAGGTTTCCTAAGATATTACATGATGGAATAAAAAAAAATTTAATCTTTTAGTCCTTCAACTTTTAAGTCATTTATAACTCAGTCCTTCAATTATGACTCGCATATGATTCAGTCTCTCAATTATAACTCGCATATGACTCAATTTTTCAACTTTTAAATTACTTACAAATTAGTCCCTTAATTTTTGTTAATTTTTTTTATGTTAACTTATATCTCACATTAATGAGCAAGAGGAGGATATTTTAAAATAATATATGAGTTTTTTTATCTTTCTTATTTGGTAAGAAATTTCTTTAAAAAATTAAAAAATAAGAATTGAGTTATAAGTGAATCAAAAGTTGAGGGATTGAGTCGCAGCGAGTTATAGTTGAGGGATTGAGTCGCAATGAGTCATAATTGAGGAATTGAGTTACAAGTGAGTTAAAAGTTGAAGGATTAAAAGATTAATTTTTTCAAAAAAGAAATTAATAGTAGCAAACAAAAATCCACCCATTTAATGATAAGAGTAAGCATAATCAAAGAATGTTAGGCGCGATTATTGACCATCAGGGATGTGATGATTGCTTCATTCAAAGATTTGCATTTAAAGATTTTCCTCCTATGGAGTAGGAACAAACAAGAGTGTTCCTTGAATTCATGCATGTACATAGATATTTTGGTCAGATTTTTTAATGTTAATTTATAATACAAAAAAATTCTAAAAGTCTTCTATTAAAGTTTAGAAAATATTTCTTCTACTTGTTGTGTCATTTCGTTATACGAGATGACTTTGTTTGTATACTTTATTTACCTAAATCTTGTAATACAGAAATTCCAAGACCAAGTGTAATATAATCTTTGCAGATCATAACCCTTGCAAACTAAGACTTTAGACAAATTAATGTTTATAATGAATAGGGTAGTTTAAGGAAAATAAATAAATAAGTGAGATAAAGGAAATTAAGATTTTATGCTTAAAATCAAAACAAGCTAAAAACCTTCTTCTTAAATTAAAGTTTGGAAAAAAAAATGGATACTTTAAAATGTAAAGAATGATGTGGGGAATTCAAATACAAGAAGAATCCTTTGATATAATTTTTTTGTTCATGAATACTTAAAAAGAAAGATGTACATATCTCTATTCTCATAACATCCATAACATAATCAATGATCTCAATATTCAATCAAAGTTGAACTATTTGATTTTGGGTTCAAGAAAATTACAAGCTAAATGATATAACCTAAAGCAGGATGGGTTGTATTTAACATAGATAGCTTGGTAAATATAGAATACTTTCAAAGAAGTTGATTGTGGAGGCATTATCTATGATAAGGAGGATAATTGGATGATGGGTTTCACCAAGTTTCTTATCTCAACATTGCATTGGAACTCATAGGACTTATGGATATCCTTAAAGACCTTATCCTATGTCATAGTGCCAAACTTTTAAAAAGTGAACATTTACACTGACTCTTAAAGCTCAAGCACTTATTCAAAATAAGCTCTCCCAAAATCACCCTTTCATAATACAATCATGAAGATAAAAGATATCATTATATAGAATTGGATCTTCACTTTTTTGAATATGCATAGGAACCTTCATTCAAAAAAGAACAAATAAAGGGTACAAGACACCAACAAAAAAACAAAAATGAAACTGACTAAAAAATCCCCAAAAACGAAAATGGCAACAACCCAAAACCTAAAAAATAGGTGGTTGGTCAAAAAGTGTAAAATCAAAAGGAATACTATGAGCCAACTTTACCAAATAGTCGGCCATCCTATTCTCTTCACTGTAAACAAAGTTGAGGTTAATACTCCAATTCTTACACAACAATCTCTTTGTCGACTTAATGATATCTATGAAAGAGTGGAAACTATGGTTGTCTCTTGTGATAAGTAAGATGGCATGTGCACTATCACAAAAGACATCCACAGTCCAAAACCCTTCTTCCAACAAAACTCAAGTCCCTTAAAAATGCCATAGATTTTAGCAATGGTAGTTGGAATACTTTCCAGCTTGTAATCAAAACTTTGAATGCAATCGCATCTCTCATGGCGCCTTCATAGGAGCTACAACCATCAGCTAAGGCAGAGCCATTAGTCTCTAGCGATATCGTATTCTCATGCAAGGGATATCTATTTAAACTTGATTTTAAAGTATGCAACATAGAAATCTTGATTAACAACCTATAATCAGCAGCTACCTTAAATAAAAGAAAGTAAGGCTCTTCAATAGCCTTACTATCAATTTCCTAGAAGAGAACTTTGCATTTATTCCTTTGAATATTCTAGCATATATTTGCAAAAAGATAATGGCATGTAATAAGTACTAGATAAACCCACTTTCTCCTTCATGTTCCAATCAAGCTAGTTGCATCTATCTAAAGTTAAAAACTTTTAATTGAAATCAAGGCGCACAAACTCAGACCACTAGTTTCTAGCATGTTTACAGTCACGAAACAAATGCACAGTATCTTCCACTTCTTCACATCTGAAAGGGCAAAGGCTTGAAACAATAAATCCTCTATAGATCCAGAGGGTTATTGTATGGACTTTAGATCTTCACTTTTGACCATGCTTACTATGAGGTAAATATATATATCAATTGGTTTGCTTATCAGGCATCCCACAATACTTATTGGTTTCAAGAATTTTTTTTATGATCCAACTTTATGTTGCATAAATTTGTTTTCTAATATGACCAACTATGTTATTTTTTGCATGGATTTTGTTGTAGCCTTCAATTAAAAAAAAAATAAAAGTATGACAACAAAAAAGCTCCCACATTAAGAGTTCGTTTGGTTTAAAGGGAGAGGAGGAAAAGGTTTTAATATTATCTTGTTTGGCTTAGGAGGGAATAAGAGAAAAAATAATTATATATAGATAATTTTACCCTTATTTTAGTAAAATTATTTTTTAATAAAATATAGTATGAATTATATTTCCATATAATTATAAGTACATAATTATCATTGTTAGATATATGCTATTATAATTATAATACATAATCATTACTTGCAATATACACACACGTGATTTTATCTTGGGAAAATATAATTTTGGATTCCTATATTTTGCTCGCGCTTTGTTATTGATCTCTATACTTTTTTTTTTGATATTTTAGATTACTACACTTTATTTATGGAGGGACCTAAAATATTAAAAAATAAAAATGTAAGAACTTAGAACACTAAAAAAAAATGAAGGGACCAATAGCAAAGCAAAATGCGAGCAAAGTGCAAAGACTCAAAATTATGTTTTTTTTTTTTTTATTTAATGGTGAAATAGACTAACACTTGGGTTAGTTATTTACTTTGACCAAATTCAAAGTTAACAAGTGACCCATGGATGAACACCAAGCCAACTTAGACAGACACATGTAATAGCAAGCTAACGATAGATGAACGGGAATGGGAAGCTACTATGCCACAAACTAATATCCCTCACACCCCCCCTCCTCCTTCTCCACTTTTTCAAACTAAAGAAGGGGAGGGAGCTATCCCTCCCTTCTACTGTTCTCCCCTTCCCCCAACCAAACAATATTGAAAGGTAAGAAGCAAAAAATTTCATATAAGAGTAGTTGCTCAAAATTAAAATCTTGAATTTTGTTTGTCCCCACCAAACTTTATGCAAATAGTCATCTTTCACACTCCACACGCTCACCGTCTCAGTCTCATGCAAATAACTCACATCACATGCGGATGATACAAACGCGACGGTGCGTTTGGTGGAATGGCACCCTCGAAGTTTAAGGCTCATGATCTGCAAACGTGCCCCAAGCATATGCGACCCCCGTTTTAACAAAACGCACCGAATCTCTCTCTCTCTCTCTCTGTCTCTCTCTCTCTCTGTTTTTTAAAGTCCTGACTCATTATTATTATTATTATTGTTATTGTTATTATTGACATTCAGTTTCTGCCTTTCAGACATGAGGACTCATTTTTCTCCCTTTGGAGTCTCTCTTTTCTTCTCAGGCACAACAAAAAAGAGGGAAGGAAAAAATTAAAAGAAAAATTAAAACTGCTTCTGTTCGCTCTCTGGCATTTTGCTCAAAGCGTCCGACCATAGTCTGACTCTTTCGGTACTCTCTATTCGAAGAGCCGAAAAGAGTCACATATAATAATTGCACTAGCTCGCCAGCCTCTCTTCTCTTCTCTAGCATTTCATTCAATCAAATATATCATGAAGTAGAAATAAACAAGGATAGAGAAAGCAAGAGAAAGCGGATCAAACAAAGATGAGTGTTTCTTTGACTGTGATGACCTTCAATCTCCACGACGATCAGCCACAGGACAGTCCTAATTCATGGGAGAAGCGGAGGGGTTTGTGCATAAGCGTTATTACTAGTTACTCCCCAATCATCCTTTGTACTCAGCAAGGTTGATCCTTTTCTGGGTTACATTTTTCTTTAATTTTTTAAGCGGACACGGATGCGGATCCTGATTTTGATTTGGATTTGCTGGAAAAGTTTTGTTTTTTTAATTTCTTTGATTTCGGTCTTGGTTCCATTTGGAGAAAGCCGGATTTCGATATTCCATTGCTTGTCCATTGAATGAGCGAAAGCGAAAAATAATATTTTAGTATGAAGGTTCTTACTGTGCTCATTGAACTTTTGCTCTTTGCTTATTTGGTTTCCCCCTCAGATATTTGATCTGGGCAAATCGTTTTTGTTTGTTTGTTTGTTAGTTTAGCGGTTCCTACATGCAGTATTCTGATTTAGTTTAGTTCTTCCTATGCTTTGATTCGATTCCTTGATACAGGAGTGAAATCGCAGTTGGATTTTCTTCATCAGGGTTTGCCAGGTAACATACTTTCAAATAAGTTAAGCTCCAAGTTTAACCATGAAATAATTAGTTTTTTGGTTGCTTCACTCTATTGTATGCATGGCTGCGCGCAAGCTTTGTGCATCTCTTGACCTAATGTATGAGAGCCTGGACCACAGCCAGAGCCTTCAACAAGGAATATGTGGTACTAGTTATTATGGCAATGTGATAAGGGGCTATCATGTATTGTATTACAAAACGCCGCTCAAGTCTTTTGAGATATTCTTGTCTTGAGATGGTTGCATGCATAATTCAAAAATCTCAATGTGGGTTAGATAGGTAAACCTTAAACCATGCTAAGAAGCTATATGTGCAAACTGGTGATTCTTTGAAGCTGTCAAATTGATAAGAAGAGGGAAAATAAGAGGGATTTTGTGGGTTCCCCCCTGGATTGCTTTTGATCTAAGATGTTAAAATGATTTAGACATCTGAAAATGCCAGCTTCTTTGGCTACCCATACCATATTTTGCAATGCTACAGTTTCATTTAAACATCTGAAAATGCCAGCGACGTTTCTTCCTTCTTTTGTAGCCATTCCTTCTTAATTGGGAAAGTTTTAATTCAATTTAGCCATTCCAACATTATTTTTCAAACGACTTCAATTATTATGTGAAAGAAGCCATTGATGCTTTCGAAAGAGTTCGAGAGAAGAAATAAAAGGTAACATGATAATGATCTTGATTTACTGTGTTTGATAATGCTTTTTTTTTTTTGGCAACAAAATTAAATCTGGCAACAATTGGAAATGAGCTACATTAAGAAAAATGATTGTTCATCACCAGGAAAAGATTTCAAGATCTTGTTCTGCACTACTTGTGAAATTCTAATTTGATGTATTTACAAGATCAAGTGCGATTCAGATTGTTTCCTCCACAGAAGTTGAAACTGCTCAAAGCAAAGGGCATTCTTGAATAAGAAAGCATGCATGGCTGCTTAAGGCAACAAACAACAGGATGGTCTACGTCAAGGAGAATTTGTTTCGACCTAATGCTGAAAGGGTTACTATAAACTGCTACTTATATGCAACTGGCTTGAGTTTGAGATAGATGTTGAAGTGTCAAACACTTCATTTCATGGCTTTATTTATCTTCGTAGAAAAAGAATTGGCATAGAGATGTTTCGCTATGATGGAATGTGCAGCTTTGAGTTAAAGGTCTCTAGTGTATAACCTAATTTAGCTTCTTAATGGAGTACATCATTTCCTTTAAACAATAACCCAGGTTATGATCAGTTCGGCATATCACGAAAAGGCCCTGAAGACACTACTGATGAGCAGTGCACAATCTTCTATGATAGGGAAAAGGTATTAGATCAACTCAATATTATTTACTAGGCGTGTTATTTATGTATCCGGCACAGAAGTTATTAGTTGATCTCCATTATTGCTTTCAAAATTGAAGGTAGAGCTTCTGGAAGGCGGAACCTTTTGGCTGTCCGAGTCTCCCTCTGTACCTGGCAGCATGTCATGGGGTTCTGAAGTTCCTTGCATAGCAACATGGGCTATATCCTTATATTTTTGTTTTTTCTTAAAACCCAACTTAATTTGTTCTGAAATTTACTTATCTGGACATAACTTCGGCATTCTGGGTTCTTTGACATGATGTCCACACATTTCAACTGAAAGGGGTTGAACCGCCTGGATTTTCATTTCAGATAGTAAATACAAACATGGATCAATTCAGTCCTCGTGCTCGTAGACGAAGTGCTTTACTCACATGGCAGCACATTGCATCCTTGCCTCCTAGCCTTCCAGTTTTATACTGTGGAGGATTCAATGCACAAAAGGAATCAACTACAGGACGGTTTCTCCTTGGAAGATCAAGGTAGCTTCCTTAATTAAAAATTGTCTAGAACTCTTTCATTTATTTATCTTCCAAGTTATTTCATGTTACCCTCTTAGGAGGTCAAATTCATAATTCCATGAGATATTGTTCTGTACTATTAGACGATACTATTATCAAGAAGTAAAATACCGTATGCACAACGAAAAGGACATGGAGAATATGATAATTAATTTAAGAGCAATCATTCTTCTTAATTCTCCCATATTCTTACTGGACCAACTCAACATATTCCCCCTCCACTTGGGCCTCCCTCTTTCAAAACAGCAAAGAAAAATGCAAAACACGTCCTATTTTATCATTATTCTTTGAAATTCATCGGAAGATATTTAAGTTGTGCTCCGTGCAACCATCTGTAATTGAAGTAACATTGAGTAGTTTGCATTGTAATTTGTGTTTGAACTTGCTTCTTTGCAGAGAGCATGGTGTAGTTGGGGATATGCGGGATGCATGGCCTAGTGCCCGTGTAAGGAAAAACGTTTCCTTAATCCGCACTTATCATGGATTCAAGGGTACTGTTCTGTTGCTTTCACTTTTCTATTGAGCATGACAGAGCGATGCCATTATTGAGTGTTATCTGGTGCTTCTAGGTGACAAGCAAGGAGCTCTAGAATTTGTCAAATTAATATTTAGAGCACTTTGCCTCTGCTGGGATCGCCAAACACAGGATCTTCATATTGATTGGATCCTTTTCAGAGGTAGATCTCTGATTCCTGTTTCATGTGAAGTGGTTAATGATAACATTGATGGGTACTACCCATCCTCTCATTATCCCATATTTGCTGAATTTATGCTTCCTCGCACTGTGAGGATGTTAGAGCCCCCACCACCACCTGCACCTGTACAAGAGGATAACTAAATTTTCATGTGTTGAGTTATGCTATGTAATTCATTCCGTCGTTATAGCTGGTATTGAAATTTCATTCTGTGCCTCTCATTTTGAGTTGGGCATTAAATATAAGTTGTACACTGCCCCTCCCTGCCCGAGGTTCTTGTGTCGAACAGAGATCAGTACGATTGTGAATTAAATTTTCTCTTCTTGTTATTGTCAAAATGCAGTTACAGTTTTTGACTGGTGATTGGTGAATGTGTCAATGGTATTAAAATATGAGCAGGGCGATCGTTCCCATCCCATTTATTTGTAGCATTTTATTATAATTCTTTATTCTTGGTAGAAAGACACGTCATGTGGGGCCTGTCACTTGATTAATGGACTTCATTTTTGTTATCAAATAGAACTGATATTAGATTGCCTCTCTCCTCTGCGCGCGCGCGCGCGCGCTTGAGTTATTTAGTATGTAAAACGTTAAGAATAAGAATTTGACAGAATTTGAATATCAAGCATAAAGAATATGAATGAAGAAACGGCATAAATGACCTTCACGCTCTTAGTAAAAATAAGTAAATAACAGCACAAGCCAATGTTCTGGTAGGCATGATAGGCATAAAATCTTTCGTGTAAATGGAAGGATGTGGGTTTGATCATACATGCTACTTCAAGCTATTGGCTTGTTCCTTATAATTTAACAAAAAAATGCAGACAACAACAACAATGGACAAAACATCAGCGACATTGAAAGGGCCTACCAGATTGAACCATGGCCATGGATTTTCAGACAAAACATAAGGCCAATGAGACTAGAATCAGCCAACCTAGAGTGTGCTGTCATACTTGTTTGTGAGTATATATTTGAGAAATTAGGTTGATCTATTCGTTGGTTCATTTTAGATCCAACTTGGTTTGCGTGTGGACAAAGATAAATTAGAACTTTCACATCAACCCGGTCTTAAAATCAAGGATTGTGTTTTGCTTATAGCTTGCTAGTTACTATTTAGCATTTACCAAACATCACCAACCGAATTGATCTTGTCTCGTGTATTATCAACTTAAAAAAAAAAAAAAAGGTAGATGGATAGAAAGAAAGGAAAAAGTGACAAACATTTCTTTTTTGGTCGAAAAAGTGACAAACATTTCATCATCATCATCTATCTATTTTTTTTAATAACAACACAACAAATGTGTGATGTTTGTAAGAAATTTCATACTTTTATAATCCAAGCTAAAAGAGTAAATTAATTTTTAAACTATAAATTTAGAAATGTTTGGAATTTTAAATTTATTTTTTATGCAATATTCTCTCTCAACTATTAAAAATGGTGCAATCTGACTTTTATTATTAATGAAAGTTAACTTTAATTATTAGTTAATTAGAAAATAACAGAAAAAGACCAAAAAATTACAAAAAAATTGGAGGTTAATTTTCCCTTTTGCCCTATAATTTAATATCTTTGATTGGCTTTTTTGAAAGAATTGTTTGCACATGTTTTAATTTTATTAACTAATTTAATTAAGAAAGTACACTTAATTTGTTTAAGTTATCTATGATTTATCTTATTGATAGAATTTTTATTTCCTCACCAAAAAGATTCTTACATAGCGATATCAAGAAGCTTTTGGCTTCCCATTATGAATATAATTTTGTTGTCAGTTGGAACAAACGACTTTTACCATAGTTATGCACGCAAATAGATATGAGAGGCTGATAAAAGGTTTTACTTTCAGATAAAAGTTAGGAAAAATGATAATAAAATTTTTTTGAATTACATAAATAATATTTTAATATCTTAAAATGCATAATTTTGTAAATTTTTAAAATTTTTTATTATTAAAAAATTAATGTAAATAATTAAATTTTTCTTAATTCAAACTTGCAAATTGCTATTGAATTCTTGCAATTTAAAAAAAAAATTGTAATCTTAAAACAACACTTAAAATATCAGAATTCCAAACACAAACTTGCAAATTGCTTGAATTCTTGTGATTTTAAAAAAAATTATGAATATTAAAATAAAACTTGTGAATGACAATTAATATTTAACTAAAGATAATTTAATTATTTATATTAATTTTTTAATGATAGAAAAGTCTCTAGAAATTTCAAAGGAATTATGATATTTTGAGAAAATAATATATTATTTACATAATTCAAAATAAAATTTATTATCATTTTCTATAAAAGTTAAGTTACTATATTAAAAATATGAAATATTTTTCTTACTTTTTCTATAAAAAAAAGTTTCATTTTGAGAAGTTTTTTTGGTAAAAACATTAACTTTTTATGTGGTAGGTAAGGACTTTCTTCAATTTTGTTTATAAATTATTTTCAACATGTTTCATTGAAATTAAAAAAAATTAAAATTTGTTAATTTTGTTTGAAAATTTTATAAACTTTCGACTTTGTCCCTTTTTAAGTATGCAAACTTTAATAACATATTATTCTATCATTTAATGGAAGTGAAAAGAAAAATTTATAATGAAAAATTAATACATAATTTGTAAATAAGATAAATAATTATTTTCTCTTAGCTTTATAAATAGGAGTAGGACTGACAGATAGTAATTAAAAGTAGCAAATTACCATATTTTAATTTTTTTTGATTTAATTAATAATAATCCGAAACCTTGACCAAAAATAATAATAATCCGAAACCGATAAAGACAAGACCAAATATTAGTGTAGTTTGTAATTATTAATGAAATTAATGCAAGTACACTTGATGAAGAGAGGGTATGCTTTCTTAGTGAGCAGGTAATTCAGTTATATGTGATCATTTGATCCAATCTCTACCACACACTTTTAACCGGATCGATGATCATACGGCTAGAATTGCATCAAAATCATCTGCCAAACGTCACGCAAATCCCACCAATTTTGTGTTGAGAACCCGAAGCTGTGTGTCGGAAGTTCCAATTTTTGTGAACGAGAAATGAGAAGACCTTATACCCAGGGAGACGAGGGAGAAGACTCGTTCATTAGAACTCGCAGATAGATTGATAGATAGAGAGTTCAGACCCAAAAACAAAAAAAAACAAAAAAAGATTGATAGATAGATATATAGAGAGTTTTTGGATCCACGGTTGTCGGAAACCATGGCGAGAGGGCCTCTCGCTAGCCATCTATTGATCTCTGTGTGTGTTCTGCTCGTTGTCCATAGTAGTTCTTTTTATCTTCCCGGTGTGGCACCACAAGATTTCCAGAAGGTAATTTCATTTTTTCTTTTTTGTCATGTGAATGCATGTCAATAATTGTTTTGCCGTTGTTGTTGAATATCGGGTCAGATCAATGCTAGATCGTCTTGGTTTTATGATTTCTACTCTTTTCATTTCCTTTTTGGTTTGGGATTTTAGTTAATTTCTCATCTCGAATATAGTGATTTTGATTTTCTTTCAACATGCAATGAGCTCGACTCATTTCATTTTGTAAATTTGCGAAATTCGATTTTTTCTTGCTTCCGAGGATTATGGGTTTGAATTCTTGTATTAACATGTGTTCTTTATATAGTTGACCCGCAAAAATGATGTCAATTACAGGACTTGATTAGTGATGATCATGTGACTTATAAATGGAGTGAGAGAACCTATAACGCTTGTATATATTTTACAGTAATTCTGCCTCTATCATGCAATGAAAGTTATAAGCTATGCGTTTTCTCTCACATAAACTAGTGCATACTTTACATATTGTCATTCTATATTTGCCACTGTAATCATAATCATAGTTTATATATTATCAACTAAATTTGGCATTTCCCAGGCAACTTCTAAGGTCTTAGTCTGACATAATTGCTGGTTTCCTTACTATCAATATAGTCATTTACCTGATTCAATCATTGCTTGCATGGCAAAATTTCCTAATCATATTATTACTGTTATTTTTTAAACCTATGCTCATTGGTGCTAGGGGGATCCGTTGATGGTGAAAGTGAACAAACTGAGTTCTACGAAAACACAGCTTCCTTACTCCTACTATACACTGCCTTATTGTCGTCCAGGTAGAATTATTGACAGTGCAGAGAATCTAGGAGAAGTTCTTCGTGGTGATCGCATTGAAAACTCTCCCTATGTGGTTTGTGGACAAATTATGACTTTCTTCCTTTTGCTTATTATGTTCAACTCAGAAATTTAAACTAATTTTATTCTTCCAGTTTAAAATGAGGGAACCTCAAATGTGCAATGTTGTTTGTCGCGTAACTCTTAATGCAAAGACAGCCAAAGAGTTTAAGGAAAAGATAGATGATGAGTATCGAGTGAACATGTGAGTCAATAATGACCTTGAATTTTACATTCACAGCTTTCTGTCTCTTGAGCCCTTGTGACATAAATATTTTTGCAGGATTTTAGACAATCTTCCTTTGGTTGTTCCTCTACGAAGACCTGATCAAGAATCTTCTATAGTGTACCTGCATGGCTTTCTTGCCGGTCTTAAAGGACAATACGCTGGAGTAAGTAATAGTGCAATGACCTCAACTTTTAATCGTTGATCTGAACCTAATCAGACCTTCTGTACTGAATTGTAAACAGAAAAAGGATGAAAAATATTTTATCAACAACCACTTAACATTTATGGTCAAGTATCATCCTGATCCAGTGACAGGGTCGTCAAGGATTGTAGGCTTTGAGGTTAAGCCTTTCAGGTTGTCTCATGATCTTATGCTTTCTGAATTTTTTTTTTCAATTGTTGGTTTTACTTGTGATTGACATTATTCTCATGAATGTAGTGTCAATCATCAATATGAAGGCGAGTGGAATGAGAAAAGCCGCTTAACTACATGTGATCCTCATGCAAGGAAGTTAGTCACCAGCTCTGAATCTCCACAGGAGGTTGAAGACAAGAAGGAAATTATCTTTACATATGATGTTGAGTTCCAGGTGAGTTAGTATAATTCATGGTGACTGAATAACTGCACATTGTCACTGAGGCTTGGGTTTTGGTCTTGTTTTCCTTGTAACATTTGGAATTTAACCTTGTAGGATAGTGAAGTGAAGTGGGCATCTCGCTGGGATACCTATCTTCTAATGGCTGACGATCAGATTCACTGGTTTTCAATTATTAACTCTTTAATGATTGTACTTTTCCTTTCTGGTATGGTGGCTATGATAATGTTGCGGACACTTTACCGTGACATATCCAAGTATAACCAGTTAGAGACCCAAGAAGAAGCCCAAGAAGAGACAGGATGGAAACTTGTCCATGGGGATGTGTTCAGGCCTCCGTCAAAGTCAGACTTACTCTGTGTCTATGTTGGAACAGGTGTTCAATTTTTTGGAATGATTCTTGTTACCATTATATTTGCTGCCCTTGGATTTCTTTCCCCATCAAACAGAGGGAGCTTGATGACGGTAATGCTATTGCTCTGGGTTTTTATGGGATATTTTGCTGGATACTCTTCGTCTCGCCTTTATAAGATATTCAAGGGCACGGAGTGGAAAAAGCTCGCTCTCGAGACGGCCTTTATGTTTCCTGCCACTGTCTTTGCAGTATTCTTTGTTCTAAATGCTCTAATTTGGGGCCAGAAGTCTTCTGGGGCTGTGCCATTTGGAACAATGTTTGCTCTGGTTTTCCTATGGTTTGGAATCTCTGTACCGCTTGTCTTCCTTGGTGCCTATGTGGGCTTTAGAAAGCCAGCGCCTGAGGATCCTGTAAAGACAAACAAAATTGCTAGGCAGATCCCTGAGCAGGCATGGTATATGAACCCAGTCTTTTCCATTCTGATAGGAGGAATACTCCCATTTGGTGCTGTCTTCATCGAGCTTTTCTTCATTCTTACATCTATCTGGTTACATCAATTTTACTACATATTCGGTTTCCTGTTTATCGTTTTCATAATCCTCATTGTCACTTGTGCTGAGATCTCAATTGTTCTCTGCTACTTCCAGCTGTGTAGTGAGGACTACCTTTGGTGGTGGAGGTCCTATTTGACTGCAGGTTCCTCAGCACTCTACCTTTTCCTCTATACAGCTTTTTACTTCTTCACAAAGCTTGAGATCACAAAACCAGTATCTGGGGTTTTGTATTTTGGGTATATGCTAATTCTCTCATATGCCTTTTTTATGTTGACTGGCACAATTGGTTTCTATGCCTGCTTTTGGTTCACCAGGCTCATCTACTCCTCAGTGAAAATTGACTGATCCTAGCAAAGTCAAAGAAATTATTGGGTCGTTGAATCTTTTTGGCCAGGTCTTATTTTTATTTGGAACAGGGAACTGTGGGAGTCCTTAGGCTAGAACATTGGTTCAAGTTTAAACATACAAACTGTTAGTCACTTCAGTATAGGTTGTTTTCAGATTCAAGTTTGTTTAAATATTTGTTCACGTATACTTCTTCCCCCGTTCTTCTCTTTTTGTTTAATATCCTCATTGTTTTGTACGAGACGTTCATGAAGCCTGTTACGTAATCTTGCCGTCCACGATACCCATTTTGAAAAAGAAATTTTCGCAAGTGTAATGTACACCTTGATTTAGATTCTGTCTTCAGAAACTGAATCAGTTTATATGGATACTGTGAATGTGGAACTTCACATAAATCTTGTTCTATATCATTAATATTTCTGGTAACTGTTATTTAAAACACTAACCTGGACTAGGTTTATGAATATAGTGTAGCATATTATCTAATTGACTTTCACTTGCACAGGTGACTTTGTATAAAGTTGATTCATTATAAGAAAAAAAACTTTTTAAAAATAATTCTAATTTGAAAGTGACTTCTTTAAATAAAATATATGATGCAATAGCCTAGCTAAGATATACAGAAAAAAGTAGAGCAATACTTTTTCCTACAACTAAGGTCTTATAATATATATCTAATCTCCGTTCGAAAGATTATAAAAACCAAATATCTGAAACGTTACCCAGCACATACATTTTTGTTCATAAAGGTTATCAATAGAAAAAGGAGGTATTCCTTCACTCATTTCAGCCAAATGACCTCAAAGATGGAATTTATTATAGAGCATCATATTATATGCTCACTGAGGCAGGCCTAAAAGAGCCAGTTGGCTTACTGCTGAGTTTAAAATGAAACACAGTCTTCAACTCTTGCAAGCCTCACAATTCTTGCAATGAAGTATATTTTGATGTATTTAATGTATGCTATCATTTAGGAATGATGTATTTATTAAGGCCAAACAAAAATTCATGCAAGCCTCAAAGCTGCAATTATATTGAGTGTAAAATCATTACATGTAGCCTTTCTTGATCATTCCAAACCAAAACAAAAAACAAAACAAAGTTGGCCAATGAAACCAGGCTTACAAGTTATAGTCTGCATCATTCATCTGCAGTAAAGTCAGGCTCTGGTGGTTTTCGTAGGGTCACCAATTCTCTGGAAGTCTTGGCATTCCTGCTGCGATGAACCCCGCGAAGAGCATTGGCTGCAAATCTTGAGGCTAAGAAGGTGGCACGAATACTGTATGAACCACCACCGGCATTGTTGCGAACTCCTCCTGATTCCTCGCATTCTTCTTTTCGACGAAGCTCCATAATCTTCCGCTTGCAATAACGACGCCAGGCTGCTTGAATAAAGCAAGCAGCCCAAGTTCTCCATTGTTGTGAGTAAAAGCGGAAGGTGTGTTGAACCTGCCTGCTATGGAGGCGCCTAAATTGACTTGCAACAAACTTTAAATCTTCAGAAATCAATGCAAAAGCCTCCACCTCTGCAAGTGTCTTAACTGTTCTGGTAGAAGATGGAAGGTTGGAACCAGATTTGGGATCCAAGGCCCAAGTTAAAAGCTCCTCGCCACAGAAGTCTGTCTCTTTAAGGAAAGTGCGGTTGAAAAATCCACTTCTCCCACCATCTGTCGTAACACTCTCGAGGCGACCACGGATGATGAAAAGCATCTCATCAACTGGATCTCCTTCCCGGACAATGAAAGCATTCTCCGTAAACAAGCATGGTTTCAGTCTCTCACAAATTGCATCAAGTAAGCTCTCATCCATACTCTCGAATATTGGAACCTACAATGTAAGAGAAGCAGTCAATAAATAAACAGATTCATCCATACTCATGCCTGACGAATAGTTTTTTTTTTTTTTTTTTAAATACCAACAATGCCTGATGAATAGTTGATAACAATTTAAAAAAAAAATGCTATGAGCAGGGAAAAAAGTTCAAACGCCACTTATTTAAAGCATTCCAGAATATCTTTGGGCCACATATACTACTCAGAAACTTGACGAAGTGGGGAGTGACTGAAAAAAAAAAAAAAAATTGGCAGAAACTTGGAATATTTTGTCGACGTTTTGTAAAAGTTTCCACGTAAGACCCACAAAAAATTTAAGAACTGCTGTCGGTGCAAGTATGTATAATTGACAAAGGAAAAAATCCTAAGAAAAGATGGTTTTACAATTTTTTTTTTTTGGGTCAAAGATGGTTTTATAATGAGAGCTAGAATTGTCCTTTTTTTTTTTTTGGTGTTTTGCTCAAATTGAAGTGTTTGTCCGTTTTCTTTTTTGGCCAATGCACGAATTGAAGTATTTCACAGCATACCCTTCTAACTAAAGCTAGACAAAGATGACGCTTAATATCTCTTCTAAGATCCTTTGGTAGATTCTGCACCAAATTTTCTTCATCTACACCACGTGTTGCCAACCATTTATATTGATCATAGCGTCTAACACGCTCTCTAAGCTCATGGGGGAGCAAGCGATGATGCATCCACTGTTCTGAATCACGTCTTTTGACTCTCATTTCCTCAAGCCTAATGGTAAGAGACTGAAGGTACGTCTGTAACCAAAGCAAAAGTGAAAAGCCTCAGTATCTCTCACTATCAATCTGCTCCTCACACCTACATGAATTTAACCTTTGAGAACTACTTACAAAGACATAAAGAAAAATGAGTCAAATGGTATGGGACCAGCCCAGGAAACTGCTACCAGATGGATGGATTGAGACATACATCTATATATATATATATATATATAGAGAGAGAGAGAGAGAGAGATGAATTTAGAACAATAAACTTCAAAACATTCAAGTACTCCATTTTCATTATCTGTGGACACGTGCGTGTCTTTATTTTTATTATTTTTTTCTGGAATGTGAATGTCTAGTTGCTTTAAATTCTTAATGCAGAACCATCATGGATCTTTCTTTGTATGAACACAATTACTTCTCAACAGTAAAATACGCAGGCAAATATAGAAATAGCATCATTTCATTGTCATCTATGCATGCTTTCACAAATAAAAAGGATTAGAGCGAGGATCTCAATGTAACATTACATCGTATGGCATCTCCAACTGCCCGGGCACCTCTGGTCAAAAAATCTAACAACAGCACTCAATGTCATTTATTCTCACTCAACTAGCTTCCATATGAAATGGATTGCAAGTTGGAACATGCAATGCCATTTACTTTTTTTTCACTGTATTTGATGTGAGCAATTACATGTTGCATGGTTCATGTTTCAAGAGTCTGGGTAATCTTATTCCCAACGTAGTAATAATTCAATCAGAGATGCACATAAGCTAAGCCACTATTTTTAAGTATACCTGCATGTTACCAATCAGGAGTGCAAAGAGGATAAGCCCAAAAATGGCTAGCGCTATTGAAAATACAACCTCCCCAACATAGGTGCTGGTTTGAAGTCCTTGGCCAAGTGTACTGTAGTTCAGTGAAAGATGTAAGCATAATTTATAAGAACAAAATACAGAACAAGCACTATGGCTGAAATTTATATTGTTTAAAAGGAATCTCTCTGAAGAAGTAAAAAGTTCAAACAAGCATTTCCGTGAAAATTTGAAGTCACAGAATATTAGCACTTTCAACTGAGAAAACCATTCTGTAAAATACCAGAAAATTATAAAATGACAAATGTCAAGTCATTTGAATGCATAACGTGCTTGCAGAACTAATTTAGAGACAGATTTCAGAAGCAGGACAGAGAGTTTGACAACTTGCAACTGATTTATGAGGTGACATAACTAAGTCAATGAGGTACATTCTCTTAACTTTGAAATTTAGTTTATGGATTTGAAGGAAGAACCAAATACCCTAGATGTCAAAGTCCTTAGAAACTGGTTGGAATTCTTCAAATCCAGTAATTGGATTCAACGGAAAGCGGAAAAGTGAACAACATTCAAAACATCACCAGATTTTCTTGCAGAAAAGCTCAGTATTTATGTGTGATACCATGCTAAAGACAATTGCAAATCAAAAATCAAAGTTATCGAGTAAAAGTCAATGAATGGTTTTATCATAATCACTAATGAGGCAGAAGAATATAACATAAATGTCACAAATCATGATGTAATTGTGTTAGAGCTCTGCTCTAAAGTAACTAATAGAACCAAGCTTTCAATGTAAAGAGAAATAAATGAGGGAAATTCTGAGGTTTTTGATATTAATGCATATGAACTGAATCAGTGTTACAAGAGAAACTCACTGATTCTAGCCAAAACCCTATTCCCAACAACTGAAATTACAAACTAAATGGAAGAACACAGCAACAAGAAAAGGTCTCTCACTGATGTTCGAGAGACCAGCACTCTCCTCACTTCTGCCTAACTTCTCTAAAACATCCTTGAGTGCCAACAAAAATAATACAGCCAAATAAAGCAAGCAAAAAGGTGACTTCAATATCGAGACTAAATCTAAGCCACCCTACCAAAACATCATGGCATAATCCTTCTTTTCTGGACCCTCAGGATATTAATCCTAACCCAATGGGTATTTCCTTTCTACACCCAACTGCCCCCTTGATCTCCTCTTATAAGTCTGACCATATCTCACGGTCACATCATTTCCCGCCTCTAAGAGTCTCACCTTGTCCTCAAGGGGAAAATCTGGAAATTGGAGAGAAATGGTGTCAGCTGTCTCCCATGAATTCTCAAACTCGGGTAAATCTCTCCATTTCACTAAAACCTCCAGCTGACCTGTCATAAGTTTCCGAACCTTGCATATGTCTTGAGGCTGTACCTGTAGCTCCAATTCTGCAGAAAGTGCTGGTGGTATAGTAGGAGTGACAATAGCTGAACAAACTGATTTTTTGAGTTGAGAAATGTGAAAGACTGGGTGAATGCGAGTTGTGGAAGGAAGTTCCAGCTTGTATGCGACCTGTCCAATCTGCTCTATGATCTTGAAGGGGCCATAGAAACGAGGGCTGAGTTTCTCATTAAGTCTTTTAGCTAAAGATTTCAGCTTGTAGGGTCTGATTTTGACATAGACTAAATCTCCAATGTTCAGCTGTATCTCTCGCCTATGTTTGTCAGCTTGCTTCTTCATTCTTTCTTGCGCCACAGTGAGGTTTTCCTTTAAAATGGCAATAATGGAATTCCGGGACTGAATCTGTTCATTGACAGCTTCAATGCCTGACGGTTCCCCATTCAGCTTAAAAAAAGTAGGAGGGTCCCGTCCGTACACCGCCTTAAAGGGTGTCATTCCAGCAGCCCCATGATGAGTTGTGTTGTACCAATATTCAGCCCAAGGTAACCATTGCGCCCATTGGGTTGGTTTCTCACTGGTGAAACAACGCAAGTAAGTTTCTAAGCTCCTGTTCAAGACTTCGGTTTGGCCATCAGATTCCTGGTGGTAAGCAGAGCTAAGACAAAGCTGAGTGCCTGCTTGCTTAAATAATTCCTTCCAAAACTGACTTACAAACACCCTATCCCTATCTGACACAATTGTTTTTGGAAACCCATGCAATTTAACAATGTCATTAATGAATCTTTCAGCAGCTTCTTTTGCTGTAAATGGGTGGGTCAAAGCCAAGAAGTGGGCATATTTTGTCAACCTATCAACAACAACAAGTATGACGTCATGTCTTTTGGATTTTGGAAGTCCTGTAATGAAATCCATGCTAATATCTTCCCAAATTTGTTGAGGAATCGGCAAGGGTTGTAACAGCCCAGCTGGAGTTAATGCTTGATATTTGTTCTTTTGGCACACGTCGCACTGTGACACATATTGTTGGATGTCTTTTTTCATGCCTTCCCAATATACAACAGTAGAAAGCCTCTTGTAAGTGCGCAAATAACCCGAATGGCCTCCGGTTGGTGAATCATGAAATTCCTTCATGAGCAATTGAATTCTGGTAGACTTCTTTGGTAGCATCAATCGTCCTTTATAGTGTAGACAACCCTTCACAAGGCTGTATCCCTCCAAATTTCCTTGCTTGGTAATGACTTTTTGCAGTATATCATTTAACTTAGGATCAGCATGTACTTCTTTCTCCCATTCTTCAAGGTCACCTTGCTGCCATAAAGAAAAACCATGTATCTCCAGATTTTCTTCTTTCCTTGAAAGTGCATCCGCTGCACGATTTTCCTTGCCCGGTTTGTAAGCTATTTCAAACTTGAACCCCATTAATTTAGTGATCCAGTGCTGTTGACTTTCTTCTACAATTCTCTGTTCCAGCAGAAACTTCAAAGCTTTCTGATCTGTCCGGATGACAAATTTCTCCCCCCATAAGTAGCGTCGCCATTTCTTGACCGCCATAACAATTGCCATAAGTTCCCTCTCATAAATGGAACATTGTTGAGCACGGTTAGAGAGCTTTTGGCTGAAATATGCCACTGGACGGCCATTCTGCATCAGCACTGCTCCTATTCCAGACCCGGAAGCGTCTGTTTCCAACTCAAACGGGATGGAAAAATCAGGCATAGCTAGTACTGGGAGAGAAGTCATGGCTGTCTTGAGACTTTGGAAGGCTTCTTCAGCTTTTGGGGTCCATTTAAAGGCATCTTTCTTAAGTAAATCGGTGAGAGGACTAGCGATTTTTCCATAATTCTTGACAAATCTTCTATAATACCCAGTCAACCCTAGGAACCCTCTTAAGGATTTCACATTCTTGGGTTTAGGCCACTGCACCATACTCTCAATTTTGCTGGGATCCGCTTGCACTCCCTCGTTGGAAATGATATGCCAAAGATATTCAATTTTTGGTTGGGCGAAAGTGCACTTCTTAAGGTTGATCACTAGCTGGTTCTCTTTCAGGATAGACAAAACAGCTTTCAAATGTTTCAAGTGAGATGATAAATCATGGCTATAAATAAGTATGTCATCAAAAAATACAAGCACAAATTTCCGAAGATGCTCTCGGAATATCTCATTCATTAAAGATTGGAATGTGGAAGGAGCATTGGTTAAACCAAAGGGCATTACCTTGAATTCATAATGTCCCTCGTGGGTTCTAAATGTTGTTTTATGTTCATCTCCAGCCATGATTCTGATCTGATGGTATCCGGACTTCAAATCCAGCTTGGTGAAGATGGCGGCTCCTTTTAACTCATCCAACAACTCATCTATAGCTGGTATGGGAAACTTGTCAGGCACCGTGATTTTGTTCAAGGCTCTATAGTCCACACAGAATCTCCAGCTTCCATCTTTTTTCTTAACCAACAAAATTGGACTTGAATAAGGACTTTGACTGGGCTGAATAATACCTGCTCTCAACATATCTTTCACCATCTTCTCAATTTCATTTTTTTGAACATGAGGGTACCGATACGGCCGTATGTTAGGAGGTTGTTCGCCTGGTTTGGTTGCTATTGCATGATCATGAGAACGAGTTGGTGGTAACCCTTCAAAAGGTCGACAAACTATAGAGAATTGGTCTAGGAGGTTCTGAATTTCAGGCGCCAATTGTATAGTTTCAGCTGTTGTTTCTTCATTATTCATCCCATTATATTCGATCATGTACCCCTCCCCTCTCTTCTGTACGGATCGAATAAATGACTTAAGGGAAACCAAGGCCTTGGTTAGAGCGAGATCACCTTGTAAACACACCTTGTTTCCTTTCTTACCAATCTTCATGGTCAGTTGCCCCCAGTTAACCTTCACTTCTCCTAAAGATTTTAACCATTCCACTCCTAGTACAACATCCACGCCACTGAGTGGAAAGGGGTAGAAAGTTTGAATAATATCCAGGCCTTGTACCTATAACTTGAGGTCATTGCAGCGTTGCTTCCCTTTAATACTAAACCCATCCCCAACAGTGATAGAATAGACGGCAATGTCCTCCACTGGAATTTTTATTTTGGTGACTAATTCCTCAGCTATGAAGTTGTGGGTAGCCCCACTATCAATCAAAATCACAATCTCGGCTTTCTCTAGTCTCCCACGTACCTTCATAGTGTGATTCCCTCCAAACCCAACTATGGAGTTTAGTGATAACTCCATTCGAGTTTCATCTTCTTCGGCTTCTTCACTATCTTCAGTGCATATTGGTTCATGGCCTTCGGTTCCCTTCTCGGGCTCTAGCTCCAGCAACATCACTTGCAGATTTTTATTGTTGCAGATGTGATTAGGTCCGAATTTATCTGCACATTTGAAACACAAACCAAGCTCTCACCGACGAGTTAATTCCACGTCTGACAGTCGCTAGGTTCGTCCCCCTGGACGCGACGACGCTGTTCCTGTCGTGTTGCTCGCTACTTTTGAGTCTGCCGTTTTTGTCTCAGCCCGTTTCTGGAGTCCCGAGTGTATTGAAGAGGCGTGCATGCTTTTACTGGGCTCAGCCACATGAGTGATCCGTGTGAAAGGAGTTTGGGCTGATTCATTTTTAAGCCCACTTTGAAAACGTTGGCCTCGCAGAAACCGTGAGTCTTTGGCCTTCTCTATTACCTGATTCCTCTCATCCACCCTAATAGACATCTCCATAATTTCTCTAAGGGTACTGGCGGCCGTGAGCTTTAATTCAGCCCTTATCTCTGGTTTTAGTCCTACACGAAATGCTCCAACCACGCACGATTCTGATGCGTCTCCCACCACAGCTGATACGCGTTCGAACTCCTCCACATACTCGCGCACAGAACGCTCCTGTTTGACTGCAAACATCATCTCATATTCATCCCCAAGCTGTGAGGGATGGAATCGACGCAGAAGTTCTTGCTTGAACTCTGACCATTCTCGGATAGGTGCTCGAGTTTCCACCCATTGATACCAGTTAAGAGCCCTACCTTCGAGGCACACGATGGCTGCTTCCAGTCTCTCCATTTCAGCCACAGCATTGATTCGAAAATACCTTTCCACTCTGAAAAGCCACCCGATAGGGTCTTCTCCATCAAATATTGGTAACTCCAGCTTCCTGTACTTCCCTACTTCTTTTTCATGATCTCCGGTGCTTCCTGTAGTCTCTTCATGGCTGGGTTGATCTTGTTCAGGAGGTTGGTCTGCACTTTTCTGTTTCTCTGCTATTTGCTCTAATTTATCTTGCATCGTCTGCATCATCTCCTTCATCATGATCATTTCTTTCGATAGTCCTCCAACAGATTCTTTCAACTCTTGTACCTCGGGATTGGAGTACTGCACTCTTTCGGCCATCTCTCTTGCGCTTATCAGAAGGTCCGAGGATTGCACGGCTCTGATGCCAATTGTTAGAGCTCTGCTCTAAAGTAACTAATAGAACCAAGCTTTCAATGTAAAGAGAAATAAATGAGGGAAATTCTGAGGTTTTTGATATTAATGCATATGAACTGAATCAGTGTTACAAGAGAAACTCACTGATTCCAGCCAAAACCCTATTCCCAACAACTGAAATTACAAACTAAATGGAAGAACACAGCAACAAGAAAAGGTCTCTCACTGGTGTTCGAGAGACCAGCACTCTCCTCACTTTTGCCTAACTTCTCTAAAACATCCTTGAGCGCCAACAAAAATAATACAACCAAATAAAGCAAGCAAAAAGGTGACTTCAATATCGAGACTAAATCTAAGCCACCCTACCAAAACATCATGGCATAATCCTTCTTTTCTGGACCCTCAGGATATTAATCCTAACCCAATGGGTATTTCCTTTCTACACCCAACTGCCCCCTTGATCTCCTCTTATAAGTCTGACCATATCTCACGGTCACATCAAATTGTCATAAATGCTGAGACAGTATACATGAAGCAAACCTCAAAAGGGAATAGATTTTATTACCTCAAATTCTGGAGCCCCCACCATAAACAGTAGCAATATTTAGAGATAAATACCTTAGATGAAACAATGCCAGATGAAAATGCTTGGGTAAAAATTCCATAATCAAAAGGTGGGTTTTCAGGATCTACAGAGCACTGTGAATGGAGAATATCTTTGCTCCTATTTTGCCAGGCACTATACCCTTCCATGAGTTGGTTGCCACAGTACAAGAAATTGTTATTACACCCATTTTCACTACAAGCCTTCTGCCAGCATGAATCATTGCGTTCAACAGCTAACAAGTACCAAAAAGCCCCAACTATCTGTAAGGAATCATCAGTAGAAAAGAACCAAAAATAAATTCCTGGAAAAAATGATAAGTGATTATAGGATAGCAAGCATAATAATGCAACTGGAGAATATATAATAACTTTGATTAGATCAAGGCTGGAAAACTAACAGCAGCAAACATGATGAAAAGATAACAAACACTTACATGACTGGCTAGCATGTATAATAGCAAATAATACGCAGCTCCTGCCCATGCAGTTTCAGCAAAGACACCAGCTGTTCTCTTAAGCTCTGAAGTCAATGGTACCATTCGGAGAAATCTAGGGACATACTGAAGCAAGATAATGAACAGCAATGCCTCTTTTGTTGACAGTACATCCGAACCATTTGACCTCTGAAGAAACCTCCAAACTACAATCTGAATACACGGACAGAAAAAGAAAACAGAAAGGGAAACCATATAAATTGAGTTTTCTTATACTCCTTAAAATAGATGCTGTAATATGGAAACGCCATCTTCCTGGTAATACAAAAATCTCATTTTATAGTATCAATAGTTTTGAAAACAACGATAGCTATAAAGGAACATGTTGCATAAAGCTGGAAAATAATTGCAAGTCATTCAAATCCTAACCAGCATCATACAGTATGCTTAACATACCCAATCACAACAAAAGTCATGGAAAGAAATCTACCATAGAGACCAGTTTCCTAGGATGGCTTTGATGAAGGATAAAGGGGTCATTATTAATCATTTATTATTTTCTTAATTTAAATATAACTTTAGTGGTGACTATCCTTACAGATATGATTGAACAGCTTTGAGTCATTTTTAGTTATGGTAGAATTAGTGTGGTATCAATAATTAATAGCAATAAATAATTAAAATATGAGTGGGGAATTTGGAGAGTTTGAGAAGATTACTGACCTGTTATTCAAGTTCATTATATGTTTACACCTATTAAAGCACCTCCTGCGTGAACAACGAGGTACAGTTTATATTTTCAGTTATGAGTACTATCCAAGGATTTCCCATGTAACCAGACTTCTACCCAGTGGATTCCAGGTGATCTGCTAGAAGAATATTGAGCTACTTCTGGCTACTTTGATTTGAGATTATTAATCTCTCTCACAAGTATCAACTTTCCAGTCTGGCGTGCAGTAAAACAGCCAAAAGAGAAGTTGCAATCTGAGAAACATGGAAAGTGACACAGAACAAACATGATCTGAAATGTATGAATACTACTTTGTGCAGTGCTGTGTCTCACAGAAATCTGAAGATGTCTATGACACATAAATGGCTCTTTTTTCCTTTTTATGACATGTCTGTCCTTCATAGGTATTTAGTATATTAATAATTAATAGGTCCCCAGAATAAAGTCACGTGCTTCAGCATAATATCAAAAAGCAAGCAGAATATTAAAACTGAAGTCAACGGTATTAACAAGAAGAACACCCAAGCCTCCACAAGTCTACCAAATTAAGAGTTCAATATATTTATAGCCAAAAAAACCATCTATCATAAAAAAAATCTTGTAGCACATTTCCTATGCTAATGACGGAAATTTTAAAAAAGAAAGGAAAGCAAGGATTGAATACAAAGCAATCATTAAAAAATCCAAGGAAAATAATCTTACAGCATAAAAAATATAGTTTCAGGTTAATAGAATTTTCTCAACCTGTGGCAAGGGCAGCACTGAAAGGAAATCAATAATGAAATATCGCTGCATGTATCGCTTGGCTATTTGTGATGGATCTATAACAAGTTCACCCCGTCCAAAGACACGAGACGATGGAGCTATATAAGCAGTGCGAAATTGGAGAGCCATGCGTATAAGATAGAAAGCATCAATGATTGTTCTTATAGTGCTAACTATGATCGCCAACTTTCGGTCTATACCAAGACAGTTAACTGAATCATTGATCACAGGGAGATAAAAAAACAATGGATCAATAGAGACAGCCAAAATGCATGAGATTACAAAAAGCTTATTCCATAAGAGTAAAAATTTGTCTTGAGGATCAAATATCTTCTTCTCTGATACTTTAAGGTCTTCTGGGAAGACTGCCCTAGATACCCCAAATCCAAGTGATCGGCCAATTGACTTTAGTCCTTCAGATCCCATTCTCATTCCTCTTTTAAAAGATCCAGTGGTTCCAATTCTTGTATAACCACCACGGCTTAATTTAACCATACTAAATCCACATTCATCAAGCCCAGCATCAGAAGATGGAGATGGTCTAGAGTCCAAGTCATCCAACCTAAAATTAAAAAAAAATGCTGAGAAAGATCAATTCCCCTCATATGTATGAACATAAAGATTAATTGAAGGTTCTAAAAATGGGATAATGGCTTGTCAATATCACATGTACCTATTAGGACCAAGACCTCAATAAGCTGAAGAGTAATATACTAATCCGTTCTCATTTCAAGAAAAGGAGCTCAATTAACTGTTTCTATGAAAGGCATCTTACAATTAAAAGTCTATGTTGCCAATTAGAAACTCACTTCACTACATCTTACAAGTGCCCCAAGAATCAAAATTTTCTACTTCTCATGCTACAAATGAAAGACTTGGCAAATGGTCAATATCTTGTCGCTGGCAAGTTTTGAATTCTTTATATCTAAAAACCAATTAAAGATATTTATGCTGCTGGTGTAGTATTATACTATCTTATGTATTTGTTGCCATGAAAAAAACAATGACAAGAAATATAAATTCTAAATTTTTCAAAAACAAGGTTGTGGCAGAAAATTGTTTACACAAGTACCAAATTATGCTTGTGAAGATCAATACCCATGTTCAATTACAGTAAAGAATGCTCAAGTTTGATGATTTCAAACCAATGAAATCGAGTAAAAGTACATAGAAATATTACTCACAATCTTCTAATCCACACCTCTCCAAAATATAACCTTGCAGAACTATATTTGGTACCTCAAAAATTTTTCCCGCTGACCATCCATGTAATGAGCCTTGTAACCACAGTCAAACATCTTTGAAAAGTTGATCACATATACCCAATATATAAAACCTGCAGCCAAACAAAACAAAACCCAACAATGACCCATAAAAGCCTCTCGAATCTGCCTGATGCTATTCCCAATTCAACTTCTGGAAAATATGATTATAGGAATGACATACGCATTAGGAAATTTTAGCTCTTGTCTGTTCCCTTCAAGTGCTACAATCTAAAAATCGATCTACCCTATAATGAAGACTGATAGCACCCACATACACTAGTTGCCATTCCACAGAAACCAGTGACTTGTACCACTTAAATTTAGTGAATTCTGCCACTTGAATTTAATGCTACTACTTGTGTGACCTAAATATAAGTTCCAAATCCTTTAAGCACATTGAAATAAATTGCCATAAATAGTCTGAAATTGAGAATTAGCGTAAATCCCCAATACAGTTTAAGATTACTACCTAAAGTAATATATATATATTGGTAAAAAGTCATTATTAGTTAAGACATCCATTAAATGCTAGGGATAATTATGAAGAGTAGTATAATATTTGACACATTAATTACAAATAACTAATCAAACTAATTTTCTTAATCTTGATGAATTAGTTAACAGTGTGGACTGGAGGGAGTACAAACAAACCTTCCATCTCCAATCACAAACTTCCTTTCAATTAGGCTGAGTTGCGATTGCAACTAAAGCAACTGAACAACAACACGACAAAGAAGACAAGCTTAACCAATGACCACATTTGAACTGGTCTTTAACCTCAGATATCCAGAATGCTCCCACCAAAATCAACATAAACTCAGTCCCTTTACCACTTAATATTTCATCGTACGAGTGAACAAGATTATTCAAGAAGGTGTTCATTTCCATTTTACAGATCAACTATCATACACGATTACTCTGTCGTTTCAACAAAGGTGACATCTAAAACTCACACTCTAAGTCAGATAAGTTGGTTATCTAAAGAAATGCCCATTTAAACTCAAATCCATTTTGATGTGCTGATATTGCTATTTCTGGGAAATAACCTCACATCAGACCCCGGAACCTCTCCACCCGAACCGAAAAAATTGGGTCAAGACTCGAGAAGAACCTGTATTTTCTCGGTTCATAGGCGCATCTAAGTCAAATCAACATATACATCAAAAGAACGAATTCAAATTATTCATTTTAAAAGACAAAGAAAGAAAAAATATTACTATAAAATGCCTCAACTCTCAACAGCAGCACCAGTATGAAAAGTTCAGCATCAGCCACAAGAAATAAGCCGAAGTAAATCTGGGAACTCTAACACTGGTTTTCATCAAAATGCAAGTAAAAAGAGAATAGAATTAGACCTTGAAAACAATTGCACGATCTTTCAATAGGTGCGGTAGAATCGCATAGCAAGAGAAGGAGAGAACCAGAAAGATCGCCGAGCGGAATCTCCGGAAGGCTCACATCATCCTTCTGAGAGCGAGAGAGAGAGAGAGAGGGAGGGAGAGCTAAGAAACTGTCAGTTTTAGTGAACTGCGGAAACAGCGATGCCTGCACGAACTGAACTGCTATCGGCAAGCACATGCAGTAGCCGCCCGCTATGTTCGCGTAAGAAATGGCATTTTCTTTGGGACCATTACTTTAAATCAGTGTCTTGAAACCCATTTTGGATATCAAATGGAAAAGACTAACAGGTCGTAATTTTTATGATATAATCAATTAAATCGGCAGTCAAACTAAAAATATAAAAATTAAATAAAAAATAATATTTATATGCATAACTATATAAATAAAATATTAATTTATTAATAGTGTTTGGTATCTCAATTTCAAAAGCTAGATATTTAAACTGTTGAAGCTAGAAGTAAAAGCATGTCAATACAAGTTTGTGATCTTGAAAGAAAATGCTGAAGCTAGAGGCATGCCATTATGTCATGACTTACAAGCTTTCAGTCTCGATATCAAAGGTTGAATTTCTAGAGTTGGAGGCAAAGATTAAAGGAGAAGTTAGAAATTAAATTTAGGCCATAAAAGAGAGATTGAAGAAGAGAAAAAAAAGAGAGAATTAGTGATTACAGAAGAGAAATTATAAATCTAAATAACTTAGTCTAAATTTTCTTGGCTTTGAATCGAGTTGACTCGGGTCCGATCTCTGAGTCAAAGCCGATTCTCTTAAAATCGACCGGTTCAATCCGAGTCAACTCAAGTCAAATGACAGATTGGTTCAAGGATTGGTTCAACTGGTTGAACCAAACTATTTTGTTCAATGGGTGGCAATCAAACCGGTTAGACCCGTTTGGTTCAGTCCAATTTCAATGACATTGCTTTAAATTTCAGGCAAACTAATTAAGCACCACAAAATTTATTGACAACTAAGAAAAGAAAAATGACAATTAAATGTGTTGTTATTTTTTTTGTTAAGTTATCAATAATTCTTATATTATTTAAATATATTATACTCCCTCTCCATTTAAAAATGTAAAGTATTTTTAATTAAATATCACTCTCAATAAAATAATTACATACTTTTAAATTAATTCTATATTTTTATATTTATTTCTATTAAACACCTTATAATAATTATAAAGACAATGTTTACATCTTGAAAGATTAAAAATATTTTATATTTTTTAACACCTAACTCTTCATCAATGAAGGGAGTATGAAATTTGTATGTAATTTTTTCATTTCTATTTCATCAATGTACTCATGTATTAATCGTTGAAAGGGAAGGTTTTTTTTTTTGTTTTATTTATAAAACAATTTTATAATTTTATATAAACATACTATGTTATAATGGGTTCAATTAAATAAAAGTTTAAGTGTCATTATTTTTTATAATTTTATTTTCAAAATAGAGTGAATCTTTAATTAATTGTCCTTTTTTTTTCTATCATCATCGGTCGTATAATTTATTTATATTTATAGTATGATAATTGATTTGTATAATATACATAATTTATTTTAATGTGTTTACTTGCTTCAGAGCATAGAGAACATAGATGATGTGGTACGTTGAATCTATATAAAAAAATTTCTACTGAAGTATATATATTTTAATAAGAGCGGAATTAAAAATTTATTAAATTTTTAAATAAAATTAATAAATTTTAATATTTCCTTTGATTTGATAAATCATATTGGAAGTGCTAGCTTTTTAGATAAGATTAGAGGATCACATTGCAGTAAAATTTAGTGAGAATTTTATCAAAAAAAAAATATTAGTGAGAATGATGATTTAAAAATAAGCATTGATGCAAATTGCAAGTCAATAAAATGTCATTATTTAAAATATAATAAAAAAATCCTCCTAAGAGGGCGGCGATCCAAGCAGAAAATCATCATGTTTCTATGGTGGATCGGCGGAGAATCATCATGTTCCCCGATATGTTCATAAACTATTATTATTTTTTGATACAAGATCAGGATGTTTAATTAATTACTAGCTTGGAGGGAATAAGCAAGCATGATTTTGAGACACAGGGGAATTAAGCCACAAAATGTCAACTTTTTATATTAAGTGTGTCAATTTAAAGATTGCTTATTATTTTATAGAAATAACTTAAATCACTCTGAACTTTATATATTCATAATTTATTTTTTAATTATTAGATGTGAGATTTTTTTTCTCTAATACAAAAAAAAATAATCAAGGCAAAATAAAACAACATTCACTCTTAATTTAGGGACAAGAACCGTAAATATTATCATTGTTTTTAGTCGTAGCTAAAAAAATAAGTCTTCTATAGTAGAGTATATGTATAATATACAATAAATAGTTAATTATAAAAGAAAAGAAAAATATTGTATATATTTTCTCGAAGAAAGAAATTAATTTGCGATGAAGTCCAGCAATAAGCATTTTCTCGACGCTTGAAAAACAAGAGATCAAGATCAATTAGATAAATTTACCTTGACATATAAAAGAGTAACTTGGAATATATATATATATATGTATGTATGTATGTATGTATATAATGTAAAGGCAACAAATTGAGCCATGCAAAAACAGGAGTACAAGATCAGAGAAAGGGTCCTATTGACGAGGATGAGTGTCGTCGGGAGTGGACATTCCGGTGGTAACCTTGGCGACGTCCATGGCCGAAGCTTCAGGCTTCTTCTTGGAGTACAACACCACGTAACCCAACACCACTGTTGCTGCAAACCCTGCAACCGCCATTCTCATCGGACACACTGGTAGCTTCTTACGTTGGTTCAGTACCTCTGTAGAATGTTGTCGACCCGATGACGAAGAAGAAGAATAAGAAGAAGACGCCCCCTTATTCTCAGCTGCCTCTGTTCCCGCCATCTTCTCTCTCCCTCCTCTAACCATATTATACTGAACTGAATAATATATATATATATATATATGATCTCAAACTTGTTGTTGTGAGAAGGATCTTGTTTTGATATTGATTGTTTTACATCGATTTGTTTCTTTGATGGGTTTGTGTGGTTTTTATATGTGTTGGTTTTTGGGAGAGAGGATTGGTGCGAGAGAATAACACGAGGCGACAAATAATGGGACCGTGTACAATTGGTGGGTGGAGGACCCTGGAGGCTTTTGTGGGATTGACACGTGGCAGTTGTGGTCCATGAAAAAAGTTTCGGAGCGTTTAACAAACAGAGAATTGGGAGACTCCTGCGTTCAGTAATTGAGTACTGTTTGACCTTTTCTACATGAGATGGCTTCCGTATGTACCTTCATCACGAAACCGCCCTTTTATTTCTTTGCTTAAAATTAACACAGAGAGAAGTGAGTGGAATCTATAAATAGATAGTAAGTGTTAATATTTTATAAATTGTTTGTTGATGTGTAAATAGTTAATGAATTCATTGCAAATGTTACAATACAAATTAATTTATTTAGCGTGGAGGTGAAATGAATGGAAAGTGTTATGAAGAGAGATTTCAAACACCCTGATACGTAGAACAATATTTACTTTACAATGCGTCGGGAGAGATTTACAACTAATATATTTTGCTCATAGATTGAAAGTCAAAACGGAAAAAAATCAAGCTTCTTTTTTTCTTTTTCGGTTGGTTATGTTATTTTTTATAGTGTAAAAAGTAAACTCTATTGATAATAGATATTATATGTACGAAAAGCAAAAGATAAACCTCTCCTAATTAAATTATTACATACATATATTTAAATTATTAACTATCTGTACAAATAACGAGAGCCTTTAACATTCACGTCAACCTTCATTTATAGCTATAGAATTTATTTGTTTGTTTAAACGCAGTTTGACGGACAAACACAGTAGCAATTTGTGACCGGCTTTAAGGATTTTATTTAACAATTAAAATATCTCAATTTTTAATCTGACGTGTTTAATACTCACTAATCACAAAAAAAATTTTTAAAATGATTTGATGTTCATAATATAAAATATTTTGAAAAAAAACTAATGATTCATTATATTCGTAAAAATTATTATAATATTATTTCTATCATTTCACTTCTCAAATATCTGTCTCTTTTTTCATTATTAAAAAAGAATATTTTTTGAAGTTCATATTTTTTAAGAAATTAAAATTTTAAATTATATTTAATTGAACTTACTGGTATTTACAATTTTATTTAAAAAAATATTTTATAAAATGGGAAACAAGAAATACCACATTTCAAAGACATTAATACCAAAATGAAAAGCCAAATTAATTTCTCCAAGCCAATATGAGATGTTTGGTTACATTTAAAATAAAACGAAAATGCTCCCTCTGGAAGAACCTTTTAGAAGTTTTTTTTTTTTTTGTCCTTCGCACATAAATAGTTATTCATTATTATTTTTAAATTTTATTTTTATTATAAATTTAATTTTATGACTTATCTTATATTGCGTACCCTCTCTCTCTTCTTATTTTTAATGAGAGTGACACTAGAAAATTCATTCTAAAACATGTTTAATGAATTAACAGCCAATTTTTTATTTTAATAAAATAAGTGTCTTGTAATTGGGATGGCAAGGACCAAGTAAAAAATTTGTTTTGCGGAGAAGACAAGAGACTTAATTGGTAAAAAAACTGAATGATTATTTCAAATAATAACTTTATTGAGAAATTTTTAAGTTATTATACTTAGTAAATCTCTCGCAATTCCAGCTAGTAGCCTAGTGGCTAGTTCAGATATGTTCACAAAGAGACAGCAAAAATTAAGGCTATTGAATCACAAGAGACGCATGCTCACATCAGATCATCATCATAACCAATGTAACGCCCATACCCATTACAAGGCCAAGGAATCCGGCACTACCTAAAGCGGCGGCGCCATTCTTTGCCGGTGCAGGTGCAGGTGTCGGTGTCGGAGATGGAGAAGGTGCAGCTGCAGGAGACGGAGAAGGCGACGGCGACCCATGACCCCCGTGCTGATCGGAGCGAACCACCAGATCCAACCTTAAGCCCTGCTGGCAATGACCATCTGCCCCGCTAATGAAGTAGAATGAACCTCCGCGTTTCAACTCTACCTTGGTTTCTCCGTCATTGTATTTTGATATCGGATTCGCTACGTTGCAGCTTTTATAATCTTCCTCTTTCACTTCCAGCACCGACTCTGTTTTATGATCGTATTTCCATACTGCGCATTCATTATCGACGGCATTTATAATTACCATCAAGAATTCAAAAACAGCTTCAAATCTAATCAGATGTAACCGTTATCGTTTCCTCTACCAAAAGCTGAAGAAAAACGAACGGCGAAGCAGCGACAACGTGCTGAAGACAGATAAGGAAATTAAAACAGAAAAGGATCTGGAGATCGAAAAGAGAAGAATAGCGAGAGTATTTACAGAGAGCATCGCCGACTCTGAAGTGTCGCCTATGGGCCCAGTGACTGAGGTAATCCGGAGAGGGACGAGGCAGCGTCCAAGCATTCTCAGCGCCTCCGACCAAGTAATCTCGGCCTTCAGATGACGGAATAAGCAGAAAAGCGAGCATGAGCGACAGCGAGAGAGGCACAGTAGTGGGCATGGAGAAGAAGGAAGCCATTGTTATGCTCTGAAGGAGAAAGAAAGATGAGATTGCAGAGTAGTGAGTGTTTAGAGAAGAGAAGGCTCAAAATGAAATTGGTTAGGTTCATATTTAAAAAGCTACCAAGCTGTGAATGTATTCCACGTGGCACGCCTTTATGCTAGAAACGGATCAGTTTTGATGGCGTCGCATGCCGTTTTAGGACTATTTTTGGTTCTCTTCCCTTTTCTTATTGTAGCTCTTTGATCTTAAATCAATCGGATCTGTAATTTGTAAGTACCTCTTTAAATTATATATATTTTTTAAGAAATTAATTATTGTTATATATTCAGAACTCGAACTCCAAATTTTTGATTAAAGAGAATCAATTTCTTAACCAGTTAATCAAAGTATTAGGTGGGTTCGCACTATTTTTATTTTAAATTTTTTGCGTCAAACAAAATTTACTGAAAGATTGATTTGTTTGGCAATATATGTGAAAGAACAAAATTACTAGAATTTTTAAGTAATATGAATATTAATAAACGTTTAACAATAAATTGAATTGATAATAAATTGGTTGGCAAAAAGATTGATAATTATCCTATCAATTACCCAATGTCATCATCCATGATTGATTGGCAATGTAATCTGAATTAAATACCCATATTTAATTCCTCGTCTACTACGATTTAATATTATCTGTTCGAAATTTATTACACATTTAAGAGTTCAATGTTTTACTCGTATTACCATATATTCGACCAAAGCTCCTATTTCACAATTACTTTTTAGGCCACAAATCATGAAGTTAATCAAATTTATTAACTTTGTTCATTTGAATTTCATCGTTCACTCTGTATACAAATATTAATTCAAAAATTCTGACGAGAATTCTTATCGATTCAGACTAAATATATACAATGGTTATTGAAATCATTTAATTTGAATTAATTTAAATTTGCCACAAATAACCATAGTTAACAATCAGAACATTTTTTATTGGGACAATTTTTAATCATATATGTAATAAATTCATTTGATCTCGAATTATGTTTACACGTTCGCCAAAAAAAAAAAAAACGTTCATACAAGTAATTTTATTAAATTTTTCAAGTTTTAGAATTCATTATCCAATTTATATAGTTATATATAAAGTTGTTAAATTTATGAGTTTAAATAAACTTATATGACAAGGGTATAAACTCGAATCTAAATTACCTCTATTAATAATTAGCTTTTAAATATATATAATTAAATAATTAAAATATAAAATATAATAATAATTTAATTTAAATATAAATTATTGAAATTAAATCCATCTATATTCATAGATTACTATACTCAATGTGAAATTTTTAAAATAAAATAACTTATATTTCGTACTTTCTTTATTAAAAAATGTAAGACATTTTGTGAAGAGTTAAATATTAAAAAGTATAAGGTATTTTTAATCTTTTGAGATATAATCATTGTCTTTTTTTTTAAAGTGCCCATATTGATAATGATTTTACATTTATTATAGGGTATTTAATAGGGATAAATATGAAAAGATAAGGTTAATTGAAAAATAAGTAATTATTTTACTGAGAGGTGAGATTCAATTAAAAATATCTCACATTTTTTAATAGATGGAGTATTTTCTATTTCTTTTTTTATTAATATTAATATTTATTTTTTTAGTTTTATTTTTTATTGAATTGAATGATACTGTTTTTATGAACTAAATTCTATATAATATATACATATTTTGCTCAACAAATTTATAAATGAATTAGTATAATTTTATGAATTAAAAATATAAAAATTATAAATTTGTATAGTCAACTTGTAAGTTTAATTAAATTTTATCTCATTTGAATTTAAAAATAATTTAACATAATTTTATAAATTAAAAATATAAAAATAATAAATTCATTAAATTAATTTGAGAGTTTAACAACAACAATCATGATAACTGTTAGCCAAAAACAATCGATATAGCTTAACATTGATTTGTTACAAAAATATAATAGACCAGGGAAGAGCCAGTAGTGCTCATGTTTTCTCTTATGACCCTGACATGTGTTTAAGACAGCTAATGCATACGTCATCCCTGCCTGCCCTCGTGTTTTACTGTTTTAGACAGCTCACATTTTACACAGCCAATTTTGCTCTTGCTCGTATTCCTTTTTTTTTTTAAATAATAAAAAATTACTACTTTCTCTAATTTTATGCAAAGGATCCTTTTAATTAATCATGTTACATGAATTAAGAAAAATAGTTAAATTAATTATTAGTGATAATAAACATGTCAATTACACTTCATCCGTTAATTAAGCTAAAAAATTAGAGGAATCTTTGTTACCAAGTACACGCAATATTACATATTCCTTTGAATATTTAATTTAATGTGATGTTTATAAAAATACCCTTCATTATTCAACTGTCAATTTTTTTCACTCTTTCATATCCTCCGAATGCCCAAGCTACTTTGTAATGGTCATTAGGCGCAAAATAGGGAAGATAGCTTTTTCAAGCACAAAATAATTTTTTTTAATACACGTTCCTAGCTTCATCCATTGCTTAAGATTTTCTTTGGACTACAACATGAAACATTGATAATTATTTTACGTTTTTTCAAGTGGTAGGTGAAACTTTAATATTTTAAAAAATTCATATCTTTTTAATTATATACTATAATTAAATATTATATATTATTGTCTTAATAATGACAATTGAATTTTGAATACAACATGTTTTCAAAAAAGAACACTCCCTCTATTTTAAATTATAAAACATTTTCAAGGAAGATTTAGTATTCCAAAATATAAGACACTTTGATAAAAAAATAAAGTTTTATTAATGATATTTTTTCAATATCACCCTTTCCATATATTCTCTATCTTTAATATTCTTTCATTGATAGAGTATTAAATGAAAGATATTTTTAAAAGTTTATATTTTTAAGGTTATAAAATGCATTTAATAAGCTTCATTAATATGTGAGATTTTATTTAAATGTGTCCCATAATTTAAGATGGAGGGAGTCATAAATAAAGTAGGTATTTATTTAAAAAATAACTATGAAAGTTATTTATTATATTATATTTTAAATCAAGTAAAACTTTTAAAAGATATCCTATATTATAGCATGAAATGAGTAGTATTAGGCAAGGGAGGGGTCTATGCTATTCCTTCATAATTACCAATAAGGGTGTGTTTTGATTAATACATAATTAGATTTGAATTTGGATTGGAGCTTGTATCAAAATTTTTATTTGGATTCATAAAAGTCTATAAATCTTGATTCAATCCAAATTTAAACCATGTTTCATTATCTCTATAACTCTCATATATCACCAATTAAGAATGGAAATAAGCTTATCATTCTCAATTTCCTCCTTTTGTTTTGAAACTCCCCTTATCTACTTTTTTTCTCTAAATTTTTTTATATTATCCAAAAAAATTATTTTAAATACCTAAATTTTAAATATGATATTTTAAATCTAAAATTTAAATTTAAATTTGTTAATCCGAACACTATCTTAGTATATTTGATTATAAGAAAAATTAATCTTTTAATTCTTCAACTTTTAACTCATTTGTAGCTCAGTCCCTCAACTATAAATCACTGCGACTCAATTTCTCAATTATAGCTCACTGCGACTTAGTCCCTCAACTTTTGATTCACCTATAATTCGGTACTTATTTTTTATTTTTTTAAAAAATTTCTTATCAAGAAAGAGGATAAAAAATGCTCATATATTATTCTAAAATACCCTCCTCTTACTCAATAATATGAGATATAAGCTAACATGAAAAAAAAATTTAACAAAAATTTAGGAACTAATTTGTAAGTTATTCAAAAATTGAGAAATCAAGTCATAATTAAGGGACTGAATTACAGGTGAATTAAAAATTAGAGGATTAAAAGATTAATTTTTTCTTCATTATATAAGTATTAACTAATTGTTTGGCAATGGCGGAGCCAGGGCTTAGGGCTAGGGGGTGCAGGATAATTTAATAAAATAATATTTTTAAAAAATAATAATTTAATAATTAAAATTAGTAATTATGATAGGATAAAAATTGTAATAATATAAATAAATAGATCATCATTTTTCATTTTAAAAGATTATATTAAATAGTATATGATCTTTTATTGCAAACATACTCTTCATGTTTTATCAAAATCATTAAAATATTATACATTTAATGAGTTTTTGAATTTAAATATTTTTTAAATTCAGAATGCAAAATAACAAGAATAAGGACCGTAAAGTTGCAAAATTTACTTACTAACTGATAATTTTTTCCAAAGTGACCTCAACATAACAGTGGATCCGCACTCGGCCTGGCCGAGAAAGAGAAAGAGATGAGCAAAATCAATTAGTATTTTAATATAAAAATTAATATGATAAGAAAGAAAGATGATATTTTTACAGGCTTACACATAAGATCAAGACGGTACTGAATCGATGGTGTCAGACTGGAGGGAGTATTGATAATGTGTTCATTTTTGAATTAACATGCATCAAGCAACTCTCACAACATTAGATTGCAAGAATGTGCGTTTACACTTTACAAGCACCATTTAAATTTATTTGTAGTGAATGATTGATATATAATATTCTAAAAACATTGTTATTAAAAAAAAATCTAAAACTTTTGAAGTTTTGCTTAAATTGCCAACCCAAAAATGCAGCGGAGAGTGAGCGGAGACACGCTAGCTTATTAACACAATGCCAAACAATCGTTAGTTTCTTTAGTGTGTGTATATATATAAAAAGGCTGAAAAAATTTGTGAGTCCACAACGACTATTAATGCCCCTCTAAATTTCAGTTATATATAATTTATTATAAAAATAATTAATTAATATAATTAATATTGATTATAATTATAATTGATTATGTTATAATGTAATTTGTTTAAATATTATTTTTTTAAAATTAATTTTAACTATATAAATTACTATAAAAGGACATTACTTTTTAAAATTAAATTATTAATAAAACTGTATTTAATATTATTAAATTTATTAAAGTTTATTTAAAAAGTAAAATATATTATTTAATAATAAAATTAAAT